GCTATGGAACAACTTGCAACCTGAAACAAGATCTGTAACATTTTAAATCTCTATTAAAGAAATCAACCTTTAAATCTACAGACACTCCAAAATGGTACCTTACAGGTGAAAGAAAACTCTTAGTTTTACACTGCAGACTGATAAATGCATGCAGCAACTTAAATTTCCACTTATTCTGCAATCATTTGTCACAGGAAGCAAATTGTTCATGCGGTTATGAGATAGAAGATGTTAACCATTTTTAGCTCGACTATTCGAAGAATATGAGAGCTATTGTAGTCGCCCCGGCGTCGGCGTCGGCGTCAGCGTCAGCGTCGGCGTCGGCGTCTGCGTTGGTTAAAGTTTTTTGTAAAGTCAAATATCTCAATTATTACTTGAGATATTCAATTGAAACTTACAATACTTATTTATAGTAACAAGGTACATCAGATTGACAAGTTGGATAACTCTGCCTACAATATTGACAGAATTATGCCCCTTTTTAACTTAAAAATTTTGGTTAAAGTTTTTTGTAAAGTCAAATATCTCAATTATTGCTTGAGATATTCAGTTGAAACTTACAATACTTATTTATAGTAACAAGGTACATCAGATTGACAAGTTGGATAACTCTGCCTACAATATTGACAGAATTATTCCCCTTTTTAACTTAGAAATTTTGGTTAAAGATTTTTTGTAAAGTTTATTATATCTCAATTATTGCTTGAGATATTCAATTGAAACTTACAATACTTGTTTATAGTAACAAGGTACATCAGATTGACAAGTTGGATAACTCTGCCTACAATATTGACAGAATTATGCCCCTTTGGAACTTAGAAATTTTGGTTAAAGATTTTTTGTAAAGTCAAATATCTCAATTATTGCTTGAGATATTCAATTTAAATTTAAAATACTTTTTTATAGTAACAATGTACATCAGTTTGCAAAATTGTATAACTCTGCCTGCAATATTTGCAGAATTATTTGCCCCTTTGAAACTTAGAAATTTTGGTTAAAGGTCTTCAAATATATTTACTTGAAACTTTACACATGCACTTAGGGTCATAATTGGAGGGTCATAATTGTGTCACTGACCAAGTTCCATAACTCTATCTTGCATTAAGGCTGATTCTACTTAGTCTCTTGGTCAATGTTTACGTGCAAGTTTTACATATCTCAATAACTATTAAAGATATTTATTTAAAACTTCACATATGCATTTAGGGTCATAATTGTAGGTCACTGACAAAGATCCATAATTCTATCTTGCATTTAGTCTGATTTTTCTTCCCTTTTTCAACTTAGAAATTTGTGGTAAAGTTTTGCTTGTAAGCTGTTATCTCAATAACTACTGAAGGGTTTGTGCCTTTTTTGGGACAAATTTATGCATTCATAATAATAAATCAGTAATTTACTTGATAAAACATCTTAATAACAAGCCTTTGTACCTTTTCTGTCAAATTTATGTATTCATAGGTAATTAGTATTATTATACTCAATAAAACACCCTTGTGACATTACCTTCCGAATAGTCAAGCCAATACTGTATAATTAGACTCTCTCTAAGGCCTATAACATGAATTTATAAAAAAAATTAGCCCTTTTGGGAACTTAAAAAAAATAACATTATCAAAGCTCTTTTACTATCAAACTCTTAGAAAAGTCGAGCGTGCTGTCCTACCGACAGCTCTTGTCCGAAATATCGAAATGAGAGAATTGATCTTTTAAACGAATAAAGGCAATTTCATCCTTTAAATGTCCAACTACTTTTAGTTGGTAACAAAGAGTTGTCTTTAGAAAATAATAAGAAAATAATTTTGACTGTTCAGCATTTTATAAAAGTAAGCAAACGCTTTTGATTTTGAAATCAAAACAGCACAATCCCAATAAATATTAATGTATTTTTCTTTCATTTTTGCAAAACAACAGACAAGATTCTTTCCTTTCTTCTTCTATTTTTTTCCTTTTATATTACATTTTCGCAAAATATATTTGCGCATTCTGTTTATTTTGTTATATTCGGCAAATGTACATGATTTCTAAGTCATTGTAACGCAAATATATAAAAATCAGTTAACATCGTTAAATACCATTCAAGCTAGAGAACATGTACACCCAATCATTTTTATTGTTCTTTCTTACCTAAAATCATTTTTAAAGCCAAGTACTATATCTGTGTGAGTTTTGTTACTTCTATCTAACTGATAGTCATTCTTGTAAAATATGTTATTGTAATTTATTGCATCAGGGAAGACCCGTTGCTAATGTTGAGAGAACTTGTGGGTCAACCCTTTTGCCAAATATGTCATGTCATTGTATTGTAACTGTCTACTGAAACTGTATGTATAAGTCTTTTTTTTGGTAATAAAATATGTTTAAATCTAAATAGTTTTAAAATCCGACTTCAAATAACGAAGTTATGGACCGGACACGATTTTGCTGCAAGGTCATGCTGTTACCTTGACCTTCAAGGTAGCGACTAAAATGTTGCGTGCGACACGTCGTCTCAATATGGTGATAGTTTCTGTGTAATAGTTTTAAAATGCGACTTCAAATAACGGAGTTATGATCCGGACACGATTTTGCTGCAAGGTCATGCTGTGACATTGACCTTTAAGGTAGCGACCCGAATGTTGAGCGCGACACGTCGTCTCAATATGGTGATAATTTCTGTGAACTAGTTTTAAAATGCGACTTCAAATAACAAAGTAATTAGGCGGACTCGAATTCGGGACGTAAGTACGGACGGACGGACTGACGGACGGACGGACAACCCGACGACTATATGCTCCCCCGAAATTATATATGCAAATGTATATATAAATCATAATTATTTGTGTAAACTGCAATGTTATTTTGAATTATGATATCAATTTAGAAAGATTCATACAACTAAGTTTCTTGGAAGAGCTAAATTATAAGAATGTTTAATGGAATCTAACTTAAAGTAAAACAATGATTTTATCATAAGTGGGTGGGGTAATGTTTTATACCAGTCTGAATGATAATGTATAGATAATGCAGTGTTGCGACTTTTTGAATGTAATGGACCTTTGTTTAAATAAAATATGTTTGTGTATAAATATGTTACTTTGTTAAGGACCATATTTGTGTAGAGTACATGTAACTGTTTCTTTTAATTTCACAGAGTTTTCTTATTGAAAACTCACATGATTCAAATACATGGCATTTTTAGCAATTCATACTTCGGATTTTTTTGAGGACTTTTTTTTCCTGTAGCAACAAATATGTTATAGATAAGAAATTTGCAAATATCTTTTCTAAATGAATTTGTTTATGGCGGGGTCTTCTTTTTGGCATAAATGCTAGCCTAATAGCTTTTTAATAAAATATTTAAACAATTATGATTAGTATTGCTGTAGTTCATTACTCATAAGCATGTGGTGATAATGATGAACATTCATGTTATAATAATGTTACTCATGTTATAATAATGAGAAATATCCATGTGCTAAGAATTGAATGAGAAATACCCATGTTATAATAATGAGATATATTCATGTAATAATAATGAGCTATTTCAATAACCAGTATAAGTATTGAATACATTGTCTCTAATTTTTGTAGTCTTTTTTTACTTTATCCGATAAATAATAAAAGAAATGTGAGTCCGGAGCAAACTTGATCACATGGGTATTACCATTTATTATTTATTTTATTATGGTCCATTAGAAGATTTGAGATGACAAACATAGCTTGACAAATATTGACCCTTTTAGACAGTAACCATTGTACCTTTTAAGTAACAAAGCATTATAATAGATATAAGGTAAAATCAAGAAATTTTGTCAGTGTATTCCAATTGGTGTCTATAAAAGTCATGAATTTCAAAAAGGTAAAGCCACATGTCAACTATAGCTCTGAGCCTATAATTTTAGGCAAAGCAATTTAAATATGACATTTTCAAGTGTCCCTAAGTTTGTGGTCAATGACACCTTGTAAGACATAATTAGAACTGAAACATGTCCTGTATCTAAGCTTTCGGATGTACAGTTTCTTTTACAAACGCACGCACACACGCACATAAGGGCCTACGGATGACCTGTTTGGACATTTATCTTCATGAATATATCAACTCGACTTCACTAATTTTTCAAACAACATATTAAGTTCATGAACTTAAAGCGTTTATGTAAACAATTTTACGAATTCACTAGTTGAATTGCACGAATCTTCATGAATTCACGACTCAAACTTCATGGATTCAACTTTGGGAACTTAATTCAGAATTTTTGTTCACGAAAAAGAAAATGTTAAAATCATTGAAATAAAAAATGATCAAAACATGGATTTATGAAGCTTGTGTGTGAAGTTAAATTGTGGAAATCCTGAAATCGTGAAGAATTAACGATTTCTAGGCAATGCTGCATTTGAAATATCTATGGCTGATCGGACCGTTATATGCCCATATATCATTTTGTAATAATAATAATAATAATAATAATAATAATAATAATAATAATAATAATAATAATAATAATAATAATAATAAAGACCTTATTTAACGAGAGAACTCATATGAACACCATATCAATCTTCCATGAGACCCTCAACAAGGAACAAAATAAATTAAACATATTCAAACTATTAAAGTACATAAATATTAATACATATATACATGATATTATCAATTTGTAGACATCGATGTTTGATAATATCTAAAGTATAAGGTTTTAAAATGGTTCACAGATTTTGAAATAGTTTTTATCTAGGATTTCTATACACTTCTGCAAACGAAATGGTCCTTTAGTTTAATTATATGATACCTTGCCCAGGGTGTGAAGAAGTATTGGTAGATAGATAACTGTTTTAAGATGTTATTTTTAATCTTGACCCAATTAAGTTTGTTGATAAATGACGTCAGCACGAGATATCACTATCTCTTCACATTAGATCTTTATTATTTAATATATAGAAAGATCAAAGCCCTTGTTTCAGATAACTATAAATCAATCAATGGTTACATGGTTAGAAAAAAACCGATCAATTTTGACAAGCTAACGAGAGCGAAATGTTAACATATTGACATTGTTAGGTCAGATCAATGTGAATCACCAGTGCATACAGAGCTTGCTGGTGATAGAATTAAATATTGGCTTACTTAGTATATTGACAGTGGACTTATTTTTACCTTTTGTAGCAATACTTACAATGTAAACTGTGAAAAAATTCAATTAATTGTTTGTTGCGAAAACACATTAAATACATTTTTTTTATTTAAAGCACTTTGAAAGGTATTCTTCATGTTTTAATAGCCTTTCTAATAATAAACTTCATAGACAAGGAATGGCAACGGTTACATATCAAAATGCACGTAAGTGTCTTCTTATAATATTTAAAAATATATATTTTTTATAATACAAATATGTTTTTCTAAATTATAAACACTCTTGTAGTATAATCTGCCTTTGTACAAAAGTGTTTGGTACTAAAATAGATATACGGCTGAGAGTATCAGATTAGATTAGAGCCATTCTGTATCGTATTTAGAGTCTCTACTTTATATACAACCATACTTCCTGATGTTACATACATATTGCCTAAAAGATTTTCAGGTAGCTACGGAACGTCAGCGTTTCTACTCAGGTGCTTGTTTGTGCACGGAGGAGCATCTGAGGACTCCACTGTTAAAATAAACAGACGCCAAAGGATTGTCACAATGCTAAGAATGACTTAAAACCAAGCGAAACAGAAACAAATAATAATAAAATAAGATTACAATATGTAAATAAAAAGAATTCAAATAAATAATCAGATAGGATTTAATAAATAATCCCAGGAAGCATCCTCTTATAGATGAAACAAGCCTCAGTGTGTCATTATGACTAAGCTATAAAATAATTTGAAAAGAAGAATTTAAAAAAAGAATGTGTTATCGAACTGTCTAACCAATGATAAACAGATTTTATTAATATTGCTTATTATAAAATAAAGTTCATGCTGTATATATTAACCTGATTCACCTGATTTTCCTGTCCAACTGGCTTTTTAAGTATTCACAATAATGTAATCGATAGTTTACCTATAGTCAGAATCAATACTTGTCAACATGGAAACTAGGACAAGTCAACATCGTCAAGTCTGTAAAGATAAACATATCAGGTGTTCCGTGTATATATACACTAAATAACTTTTTCAAAATCGTTTGTTTTAACAGATAATAAAATTGCGAATGTTCGTTCTCATTTATGATAGATCACATTTTATAAGTGGTATTATTTTAATAGACTATCTCATAAATGAGTCCTCCGCAGGTAAATATAAATGAACATAACGTCTTCAAATATTGTAACACAATTCAAAGGCACATTTAGGCTCAAATGATATCGTCATTATTTTTAGAGCTTTGTATATATTAGGTATTTATTTGCTTTCTTTGCATTCTAGAAATTAGTTCACATAAAGTGATTTGATATTTTGTATACATTTTGTGTCCTTTATCATTAATAATTTTATAGTCAACGCTCTTTTTAAAACATATTTATGTGTGAGGTCTAATGTACAAACCTTTATTTGTACTTATTACAATTATGATGTACGCACCAATCCAATAAATAAAAATATAAAATTTACTTTCTCATAAAATGATTTTATTGATCCGAAATTAAAGCTACTTTGAAAGACAGTATTAATAAATAGCATGGCAACTGAAACTTGATGATATTATCATATTAAACCTGACCTGAGATTGACCTCATTTTAAACATATTGTTTTCGCATTTCTTTTCACTACAAAAAATTCAATGGTGTAGCAGACAACACGATATACTAGGATGCTTTTGCAGGAAAATTTCATATTTTAAAGATCACGATCCGCCTTTTTATTTAGTTGCCATATCAGTCAGTATTCTATCTTTAAGAACATATGCCTCGCATGGTCTCGGTGGTATCATATACTCACCATTTACAGTTTTTACTGCGGGGTATATATTTTCTGTCATACAGAAGGTACACATCTGAGGCATTGACAATAGTTCATTGTATTAGATCGATATGACTCGATATGGTCGAGTGTTTGTGTTGCATTCATTGAACGCCCCCTTTCTGGAACAGGACCGCATATTGCGGCGCATAAATCCGAATCCGTACAGGCTATACATATTGTTTTGTCCGACCTTTGAATATCTTCTCATATTATGCGAGCGGGTGGTCTTTAATTATCTTATCTCAATTTAATATAATCTGCTAATTTAAAAATCAGTCAAATTTACGGTATTAAAAGGAAAAGGAGTGACATCCGCCATTTACCGCAACGTTAGGCGTAAGTTATCCGCCTTGATATGCTTGATTTTTGTTTTAATTTTTCTAGAACTCTCTTTATATCACTCAGTACATGGAAAACTTTCATATTTCCTAGTTATGAATACCAGATGAGTGCCTAAAATATTTATCTATGGATCATGTTTTAATATTCCATTTTTCAGTTAGGCAAAATCAGTTGGACCATACTACTAAATTGTCTGTTTTCTCCATGTTTACAAATCAAAACACGAATACGCTCGTTATAATGCCGCCTTTTGTAACACTGCAAAACGTCCGTACTGCAAAACGTACGTATACGGACGTTTTGCGGCCCATATCGTCCACATTTTCCTGACGTACATTTTGCGGCAAAAAGGCATGGTCCTGCCGCATAACGTCCATATTATAAAATTTATATAAATTTCGTTAATTTTGACCAGTTATTATCAGGTGTTTTTGTGTGTTAATTTCAGCTCACCTGAGTATGCGCCTGTCTGTCTGTCTGTCCGTCCAAATTTAGCTTGTTACCAATCTAGCATCCACATACCCTAAGCAATATGGCCAGAGTTATTTGCCCTTGAATTACAATATCTGTTATATTTCACATTGTTACCACTCCAACGCTTTCATTTCTTCTTCAATCTTGACGATTTTCAAGAGAATATCTATGACCATAAAATCCCTCTAAAGTTAGATTATAGGTTAAATCTAACAAAAAAAAAAAAAAAAAAAAAAAAAAAAAAAAAAAAAAAAAAAAAAAAAAAAAAAAAAAAAAAAAAAAAAAAAAAAAAAAAAAACGCGCTATATTTCACCTTGTTAGTGCTTTCGTTTCTTCTCCATTCTTAAATTTTTTTATACAGAATATGTATAACAATAAGGTCTCGATCAAGTTCATTTATGAGCTAAGAGGATTCCCATCCCGACCCCGCTCCCCGCGACGAAAGCTCTCTTGCTCAATTATGACTAGGCGACTTAAAGGCCCTATCTCCATGACAATATAGCTCTCTCGCTCAAATATGACTACGCTGTCAAAAGTCCCCATCCATCCCCCGTAAAAATGAACGGTAGAACCATACCTCCATAGTCAACAAGAACACAAAAAATCATCCCCACTTCTTGATGCAATTATATGAAAAGCTATTGTCAAAAGCAAAGCTTAATTTTAATATTTTTTGTCATTCACTCAGTCCAATCCCTGGTTTGTCCGTCCGTATAGCCGTCCTTTTCTGTATGTCTATAAGATTACATTTATTTCAATATCATCATTTTTATATCTCTGCTGCTGCTTCTGCTTGGTTCCATTCCATAAAAAATCTATTCAAAAACATCCTCAGCTTAAGCATATTTCTTTTTTTAAATAAAAAAGTCAGAATTATATAGGATCACAAAAATATTGCACTTTAATGTTTATTTCGTCATATCTTTACCTGAAACAATATGAAAGTGACAGAACCAATAAAAGTAACGTTTATAATGAATATATTTTAATACAGAAAATATTGAAGATATGCGACGCAAATACACACTCCCACCGCAAAACGTACCAAGTACGATATGCACCGCAAAACGTCCACATGTGTACGATATGCGATGCAAAACGTCCACACGCGTACGTTTTGCGGTACGGACGTTTTGCGGTGTTACACCGCCTATAGATACATGTCAACACGTGTAAACAATAAACCGTGAACGTTATATCCGGACGATACCTGATAGGTGACAAAAATAACGGGAACAAAATTCTGAAAAAAAAAAAGTAATCAATTGTAGTCGAAGGGGAAAAACTCATGCCGAAAACGTTGCGGCGATAAGCGGATGTCACTCCTTGTCTTTTTTATAATACCGTAAAATTTGACCAGTTTTAAAAGAGACAGATTGGGTTCAATTGATAATATATATTTTTGAGGCCATATACTCGGATAATAGTAAAAGATATTTAGATGTAGCAGAAAAGTTTTTTAAAACTGTTACACGATCGACAATATACTCCGCAATCTGCGGTCCCGTTCTCGAGTTCCTATGCCTTTCCTGGTTGATCTTGCTTTTCATATTTTATCGTGCCCGGAAAACTTGATATTGACATGAACATAAGTCTACAATTTTTATAGGTTATACCAATAACATGTGTATATATTTATTTATTCATTTAATATTTCATTTATTATTAATAACAATTTGTTTACAAGCAGTGGCACCTTACTGTTCTTTTTGTGCACCCATGACTTCAACGATAATTAGCTAAGCAGAGCATCGGTGTTATGAATTTAATACGATAGTATAAGGTTATTATACAATACTGATTTTCTAGATCAATACATAATCTAACAAAACTATATTGGATGAGGGGCTTGTCGAGTTAGACACAGGTTTTGCAACCTTGTACGAGTACAATAGAGTCAGTATTGCTTTAAAAAATGATCTCATTATTTCACACTACCATTTTTGAAATTTTGACATAACTGCATGACTTCAAGTACAATAAGGATATGAGAAGGATTTTGGACTCCCGAGAATAAACACGTGGTACAAAATGGGGTACCAATGCATTTAATAGAGATATTTCAAACTCTGAAAATAAAAATGAGACTATATTTTGTACAATATGCATTTGATATAGATATTTAGACACTGGAACCGAAAACGAGACTGAATTGATAAAATTGTTTCGACAAATTATTTCTATTGAAGCACGTGATGTAAAATGCTGATACGTTATTGGTTATATTTTATGTACGATGTGGAATAAATACTCTTGTCGAAAAAGAAATACAATATCAAAATAAGAATACTTAAATTAATTTCACATACAACAAGTGTAATTACTATTTTGCATTTGGTGCTGTAATATTCTAATATAATACATTAACAGCGCGAATGTGATATTTCGATTTAATGTACCCCACAAAAAGGATTAAACGTGTCATCTAATTTAATCATATCTTATACAAACGTTGACTTTTAGGATTAATGCAAATAAAATATTAAATTACTAATGCAACATTTCGTTAACTGTTTTGATTTTTAATAATCCAAAACAAGTACAGTTTTTCAAATGGCTGTCAAATGGTATTTTCACAATGTTTCTGATTGCCGGTCATTTTCTTTATCAATAATATTATCGAATTACACTTTATTTCCCGCTTGATGTCCAGTAAATACCTGTAATTCTTATAATGCTTATAGCACAATACTGAATATTCACATCAAATTTCACGTAGTAGAACTACTTTCAATCTTTGTTGTTTCCAGGTTGATTTTGGAAAATCAACAATGTGTTACGATTGATATTATTCGGTACGGATTTTATACGCATTTGTTCAAAATTGATATGAATAGTTTATAAATTACAAGAACTGTCTGAGATACTTTTTGGAATAAATAAAAATACATTTTCTAATTTTCATAGAGGGAGGCACCGGTTTCGCAACGTATAACAGTCAGCAGCCGCCTTCATATACACAGCCTGGCTATGCTCCGTACCAGCAGGGTCATCCCGTACCAGTTCACGGTCAAAGTAATGTTGTAGTTGTCTCACAGCCTGGTGTACAGGGAGTCAGAGGAACATGTCCATACTGCGGTGTATGTTTTTGCTGTCCTTATATATAATTAATTTCTGATAATAAGACACATTTCTTTAAATATTTGAGCAATAGATTTGAGTTTAATCATGCCATTATTTAAACAATTCTTGAATTTAGATATTTTATTGAATTTTTTTGTTTGAAATATTGGAATAATTTTATGAATGTATGTTTTGCAGCTTGGGTTTGCAAGGTCCGACTACTCTACAATTGGTATACTGATCGCTATACTGTTTTTTCCTCTTGGTATAATCTGCTGTTTGATGATGACGGAGCGTCGATGCACTCACTGTCGAGCTAAAATATAGACTTGTTATCCTGCATGCTATTTCGTTGTCTGTGATATCTTTTTACCTTTTTGACAAATTGCAGTGCCTTTATTAGAACAATTAAAGCTCAACCTTTTAATATTATTACTGATACTAGCTGGATTGCACACAACCAATAACATGTTATTGTTATAGACAAAATCTACATATAATCAAGCATATATTAACAATAACTTATTCGTGTCAGCAACCGATGATATTTTATAAAGAATCATGATGTAAAATTTACTATAACAATAATAATGACTTGTTACTTAAACGTACGTCCAAAATTGTGCATTTTCGCTTAAACTTGTTTAATTTCGTCTCTGCAAAACATAATAAAGATTGTTTCCAAATTAACAGTTTGTATTTGTATCTTAACCCGTAAAAATGGTTTTGTAGAGACTTAAAGATTTTTGTCATGGAGATTTACAAAGCACAGTTATCGATTGGTAAACAACTGATGTTAAAAATCAATAGAACTGTCGAATGGGGCAATGATACAGAACAAATAAATATATTATTCGTGACACTTATCTGTGCTGTATCGGTACGCTTAATTGATCATAATAATTGCAAAATCCGCTTATTCTAGGTCATGCCACCATTTCATAAACACGAACTTTTCAATTATTTTATTGATTATTAAGAGATTCTTTTTATGTACTTTCGCATTGATGTAATGTTCACTTCTTATAATTATTGAACTTACAAAATGCCACTTTAAATACTTGAAAATTTTACTTTAAAGACACTAATTAATTTCGCTTCATGTGAAATGATATCGAGGCTTTCATCACAGAAGTTGGTTGGCGAGTTATCTGGATTTTGTGAGGTTAGAAACATATGGTTATTATTTAATATTAAATGAGACATTTGTAATATTGATATGAAACAAACTATATTATTACATGTGTAAAAGATGAGTTTTGATTCTTTAAAGTTAAATTATACTTAAATTTATGTCACGATTTTAAACTGTTTACTTTTTAGGGGAGCTACAGAATCAAAGTGGACATCAGGTGAAATTAAACAACTAATTCGTAAAGGTCTTTTCAAACAGGCTAAGCTTTAAATAGTCGAACTTCGGATACAATCATCTGCTTAGCATCAAAATTCTGTCAGAATATCAGTCAAGGTGACTCAACTTTAAATCGACTGTCAATCCTTTATAATTCTTTCTGTGAAACAATAGATAATGGAACGGAAATTAGAATCGTTTTTCGTGACATCAACAAAGCTTTTGATCGGGTATGGCACAAAGGACGTATTACTAAACTGTCAGATGTTGGAATTCCCGGTGATTTACTTCTTTACTTATCCTTCGGAAGACATGAGCTGAAATGGTCTTCTCAAATTCATATCCGACTTACTAGTTATGATTTTAAAAGTCAAACATGATCTATACAAGTGCTGAAATCTATTGTTACAAAGTTATAGCTACCATGAAATTGAAAATGAAATTTCGCCGTGCATATCCAGTAACGCAGAATGTGCAATTATCGTAAAAGTAACGCCGAATCTGTGCAACGCTATTGCCAAAACGAATAACACAGTAAGTAAACAAACCAAACTATCTTATCAAAGTTAAATTAAAAGAAACATAAGCGTACGGCTGTTATGAAATTATACTTTTACCAGCATAATATTTTTACAGGAATACGTTTACTTGTTTAGATCATTCGTGAGAAAGTCAACCTGATTACCGTTTTGAAGGTGACTTTTGTGTTTCGTTAAATAAATATGTACATTTAACACATTAAAAACATTGTTTTTTCAATTTCTGTATATCTTAGACATTTGGCAAACTACAAGTGTCGTATAACAATAGAAGGAAGCTGGTAAAATAGGATTCAGCTATTTTTAATGAGATAACCGCCGTTGCTTCAGTGCTCCATTCACGAATTCGGCGTTACCTTCTAAAATGGTATCAATTACGTTTGATCTGCTAAATAAAGTGTAATATGACACGAGTAGATTGAAAAATATCTCAGGTATACCGCATATAAAAATCATAAAGTACTATGTACTTTATTGTATTTAAAGATATCAAGGAAACTAAAAATCGCCATCAATACGCTAATGAGGTCGTCATTTTCACGAATGATCTTGAAAAATAAACATTTTCATGGAAATACTTTTGATGAGGTATAAAGTATACATGTAATGTCTCAGCAACCGTATGCGCTAACTAATTGCTTCCAAATTTGTATACAAATAAAGATATTGGTCCATTTACTTATCGCGGTGCTCGTTTTAGCCAATAAATTGCACAGTTCTGTGTTACTTTTGCACAATTCCTACGTTATTTACACATTCTAGCGGTACTGGATATACACGTTGAATTTGATTTATATAATTTCCTTAACGTTAGCAGGAGGATATACACATAGTAAGCAAATGTATGCGAGGCCTTCAAGCAGACCGCTCTTATATTGGCAAGAAAGACACTAAGACCCATTGACTGCCCGACCCCTTACAATATTAAGATAACTTTTAAACCCATTGACTCTTAGATCTCTTTTACATGACTTTTCGACCCCTAGTTGGTAAGACCTTTCGACATATTGTTTCTCAGCTCTTTTCCATTATGCGGAGAGCTAAGTATGCTTAGTTGGACTAGTCAAAAGACGCTGGTAGGTATATTTTTCTGTTTGCTCGTGTGAGTTTCTACAAGTCTGTATTGCATTCTGGTTATTTGCAGAATTTGATGATAATGTTCGGTTAGGTGTCTAACATAACATAGGTGAGCGGAGAATTGTGTCTATAATTATCAATAATTTAGAAAGTGTGTCAAAACAACACATGTACGATGTTAAATAAATACTGACAATGCTGCAGGTTTGTTTTCTGTCTGGATAAATTTAATTTTGGTAAAAATCTTATACAATGGGTTAAAATCTTTTACACTGATATATCAAGTATAGTTATCAATAATGGACATTTTTCGGAGCCTTTTAATATAGAAAGGGGTGTTCGTCAGGGATGTCTATTATCATCTTCATTATTTACTTTATGTATAGAAATATTATCAAATTTCATAGAAAAAGATAGCGAAATTAAAGGAATAGAAATCGCGAACAAAACAATAAAGCAATCTTTTTTGCAGATGATGCAACATTTGTTAATGATGGATCAGTGAAGTCTTTTGAAAAACTTGTATATGTCAAAACGGAATGTAGCAAAATCTCTGAATTAAAACTTAATACAAAAAAATCCACATTTCTACGAGTGGGATAGCTCACAAAAAGTGATGAAGAACTTTGTAAACATAAAAAATTCAATTGGACATCTGATTCAGCAAAAACTCTAGATATTCTTATCTCGTCTAATTACAAAATAAATACAGATATAAATTTAGAACCAAACTTAGAAACTTTTGTATTTGCTTAAAACAATGGCAACACAGAAAACTGACTCTTATGGGTAAAGTGATGGTAATAAAAACATTTGCCTTACCTAAACTGTTATATCCATTTTCAGTAAAATATTAAAACTTAATGTTAAAAATGAAGGCTTAAAAATGATCGATATAAATACCTTTTTAAATGTAGTAAAGGCAAATTGGGTCAAACGATTATATAAATGAGGACAATAAAGGATTATGGAAACTTTTTATAAATCAAAAGATAAAACAGTATGGAAATGACCTTATATTTGACTGTAATCTTTCAAAATCAGATATCAATAAGCTACTTTTTCATAATTCATTCATTAACAATGTGATTTCGTCATGGTTTCATATTCAACAAGAACACAATAATAACAAGAGCACCGCTAGGCGGAGCATTATATGCCCGAAAGTGATTTTTTTAGTAAAGATGAAGCATTTGTAAGACATTGGAATTAAATAAAGTATTACCTCCTTCAAATAACAATCCTCCTATGAAGTTTGAATATTGTGGTCCAAATGGAACTTAAGAAACTGTTTTCAGTTTTAAAGTAATAGTGACCATGATCTTTGACCCCAAAATCAATAGGGGTCTTCTACCCAATATGGACAATCATCCAATGAAGTTTGAACACAGTGAGCCAAATGAAACTGAAGTTATGTTCCAAAAACTGTTTAATAGTGACCTTGACCTTGTGACCCCAAAATCAATAGGGGTGTTCTACCTTATATGGACACTCATCCTATGACGTTTGAATATTGTGGGCCCAATGAAACTTAAGTTATGCTCAAGAAACTGATTTCAATTTCAAAGTAATAGTGACCATTACCTTTGACCTTGTGACCCCAAAATCAATAGGGGTCTTCCACCCAATATAGACAATCATCCTATGAAGATTGAACACTGTGGGCCAAATGGAACTTAAGATATGCTCCGGAATCAGTTTTCAGTTTTAAGGTAATAGTGTCCTTGACCTTTTACCTTGTGACCCCAAAATCAATAAGGGTCTTCCACCTAATATGGACAATCATCCTATGAAGTTTGAACACTGCTGGCCAAATGGAACTTAAGATATGCTCCGGAAACTGTTTTCAGTTTTAAGGTCATAGTGACCTTGACCTTTGACCTTGTAACGTAAAATCAATAGGGGTCTTCTAAACAATATGGAAAATCATCCTATGAAGTTTGAACACTGTGGGCCAAATGGGACTTAAGTTATGCTCCGGAAACTGTTTTCAGTTTTAAGGTCATAGTGACCTTGACCTTGTGACCCCAAAATCAATAGGGGTCTTTTACCCAATATGGACAATCATCCTATAAAGGTTTACTATTGTGGGCCAAATGGAACTTAATTTATGCTCCGGAAACCAAATTGCTAACGGAGGGACGGACGAGCAGACGGACGCCAGGGGGTATAACATAATATACCCGAAATTCTTTCGGGCATATAAAAATGATAACCATAAACATATAAAATGGAATAATTCAAATATTAAAATTGATAATAATTTGGTGTACTATAAAACATGGCATAATAAAGGTTTTCTATATTTAGAACATCTATATGATTATAGGAAAAATGAACTCTACAAATTTGAAGACCTTAAAAACATCTATGGTATGGAAAATGCTGAGTTTTTGAAATATTACACGCTTGTGAATAGTATACCAAAATGATATCTTGATAGTCTAAAATCTACAAGAAACTATAACGAAGTACTAGCTACAAAAGAAATATTAAATGATGAATTTGAATTTTAAAGTGCTAAAACCTTCAGGCGTCATGTAACATTTGCATGCTATTTTTCCAAGTCAGTTTATAATCCAATCCTATATAGCGTCGTGGAGGCCGGGCATTGTAAACAATCCTGGGGTTGTAAACAAACCAATAGCAGGGATATTGTGACATCTGAGGGTTCATGTTTCTATGCAATACTCTAATTATACAATTTCTACAACATCAATTATTTTCGATGTATTTTTGTAAACATGAAACGTTCAACATGGGAATTAATATTATCTATAGTAAGTATTCATTGAACCTTTTTATTAAACACTGCTGCTGATGACTGTCATCGCGTGGTATGGATGTATTTTGCTGATTTCATTTCTATTGACAACATTTAACTTTCATTTTCGTCTTTGTATTGTTTGCGCATGCGTTTATTTAATCTTGGTCATAGTTTAATAGTCGAATTTGTATTATTATGCGGATCGTATTACCGGCTCTTTTATTTACAATGCGCATGTGCATCAGCTCTGTCCCGGCTCCCTAGCATGCATTATACATGTATATCGGCTCATCTCCGGCTCCTTTACATGTACTGCGCATGAGCACCGGCTCGGACACGGTGACTGCACATGCGCGCTATCAGCTCGGAACGCCCAAAGTCAGTTCCGAGCAGTTGTTTTCTAGATTTTCTTCTGAGCACAAGCATTGTCTCATTTCACTTAGAAAATTGTCTTAAATAATAAAATTTCTGAATTTGAGGTAAATTTAATTTTATGTCCAGCTTTTGGAAACATTTATTCCAAAATATTCAACTTCTTAACTCCGTTTTTATTTCGAGGTCTGACAGTCCGCGTAGAAGTCAAACTTTCAATATTATTGATAAATTGTTGCACCTTTTAATTCTTAATATAATGGTTAATCAAATACATTATTTTAACTGTTTATCGATAGTGTAATGATTGTGTTAAACTACGACTCCTCAGCCGGTGACATTTATTGTTAGTCACCGTCATCAACCATAGAAAGACAAGAGTGTGTGTCTTCGTCTGAATTTCGACATCAACAATCATCACTCGAGATCATAGAACAACAAGGACCCTGTTTTAATAGAAAGCCTTAGCTAAGGTAATAATGATAATAGAGCCCAGATTGCATTAAATTTCTACCCAGGAAATCCTTTGGTCCTTGAAAGGTCCCGACCACATTTTAGTTACAGTCAAGCAAGTCTTGAGGGTCTAGGTTGGTCGCATGAGTTTTACACACGTCCTGACGGGCACGTTTTTGCGAACCACGGGCAGGTGGCAATGACACCTTGGGTACGACAGTCTTCAAACATAGACCCTCGGGATAAATGACAAGATAATTTTAATGATGGTCCAGCTCATAGATAAAGAGATACTACAGATGTGTCCATGGCACATAGAAGTAGAATAAATGATTACAATTTTAACAACCCTATGAACAGGCTCATTTAAACCGAGCCTGCAACATTTTCAATTTTGCCGTGTTGGGCTTTCTTTAGGGATTCTGTATTTATCTATTTTATTTAGATAACAGACAAGCATATCCTGAGACAGATAACAGCTATAATTCTCAAGTTTCTATGGCGCCTAGAAATTTGAATGTAGGACATTATGGTAATGCCCAACCTTTGATACGCCCAATGGTACCAGCTACATATGATGGTACCACTTCATTTGAAAATTATTTGAGACAGTTTGAACAAGTGGCCAGAATAAATAGATGGTCCAACATTGATTAAGCCATGAATTTATTGATTAATTTGGGAGGAAATGCTCTCGGTGGTCCCTTAAGTGATGAACAAAATGACTATGATCGAGTAAAAGAAATCTTACGAGAAAAGTTTGAACCCAACAACCGAAGTAGTCTCTACAAAGCACAGTTCCGAAGCGGAAGACAGAGGAGGAATGAAACAATCCAAGACCTTGCATCTAGCATTAAAGAATTAACCAGAAAATCATTCCCAGGAGCTACATACTTAAGTGAGAACAAGAAGCTATCACATACGTCTTGCAGTGAATTGAGATTTTATGTACAACAATCTATACCAGAGACTTTACAGAAAGCCGTATTAATGACACAGGAAAGTCAGTTATTTCTACAAGAAAGAAGAAAAAGTATGAGTTTCAGTCGTAGTATTAGAAATGACGACTACAATCAAGCATTTCAGCACCTTAGTATTGACAATATAGAAGATAGGCTAGCAAAAATAGAAAATAGCACTCAACAACCAAACAAGTCAGCTAAAAATAAGAGTCACATTACTTGCTTTCATTGTGGTAAAAATGGACATATGCGCAAAGACTGTGATAGTCGAGACAAGAGAGCAGATTTACCTTATAATAGATATCATAACACACAGAATTTCAACCAGTACAGACATAATCAGAACAGATCAGCATTTAGCCAGAGCTATAACAACACAATGCCAAAACCAACTAAGTATCAGGAAAACTTCAACAGGCTGTAACTGAGGGTCAAGATACAGCACTTAGTTTCAAACGACCCACAAATTATAATGGAATGTATATGACTGTGAAAATTTATGACACAATATTAGAAGCACTAGTTGATACTGGTTCCACTTGCACTATTATACAGCCAAGTTTATATTCAAAATTGGCCCAAAAATATAATTTGTCATCAAAAAGAGATGGTCATTCCAACTTAAAGTCAGCAGATGGTAAACCTATTCAAACTGATGGTATAATTGACCTAGATATTTTAATAGGACAACACAAATATAGACAAAAGACTGTTATTGCAGATGTTGAAGTACCTATGGTAATTGGATTAGATTTTCTACATGAAAATAAAGCTCAGTTGGACATTATAGGTCCATCTATTCTGTTACAGGGAGAAAAAGCAATCTTCAAATTAACGAAAAGAGCACCATCAATATATAAAATACAGTTAGCACAAGATACAATGGTACCTCCTGATAGATTTCAACATAGGTATGATAAAGGCATTTAAAATGATGTGTAGCAAAGGGGTTTTAATTGGAAAACCCTAAGTTAACCTTCATGATGATTTTATACCAGTCAGAGTACTGAACATTATTGATCAACCAATTAAATTGTATAAAAGTACAAAAGCTTGACAAATTGCATGTATACCGATATTACATTGTGAATCACCAAGTCATTATGTCAAGCAAAAAAAAATACAATAATGTATAATATACATGAAATTGCTCCCCGTCATTTAGCGCTCGCATCCGACAGACAAAAGAAACATTACGATCATCGCGTTCATACGAATACATACAACATAGGCGATAGTGTATGGTTGACCAATGAAACAAAAGTTAAAGGTAGAACCCCGAAATCAAAAAATCGATGGCTAGGTCCATATGTCATAATCGAAAAACTGTCAGAACTCAACTATAAAATTCAATTGAAAAATAAAACTCAGATTGTATATCATAATCGTCTGAAACCAGTTGTTACCAAAATGTAATAGATTTGTTTATATTTATATTATAGGATGTCATCTTAGCTCCTCAACCAAATAACAAAGTGCCATTACAGAAATATCTTCTGTGTGCATATGTGTGTAGAGAGTGCTGCATCGGATATGACAGAGGAGATCAATACAAAAGACATAGAGATGATAGGCATGAGACTTTTGTCATGTGTAGGTATAAGTGTGGTGTGACATTCCCTGTCTGTAGGCCGAGTAATTTGAAACGACACAAAGAAACAGGCAAAAGAGGCGAAAGAAAACAGAAGATTCAAAATAAAGAAAAAAGGGGAAGAACAAAGAATAGAATGTCACCTTACCACAGAGAGTATCAAAACAAATCCACAACAAAGTATTAAAAATAAATCAAAATCAAAACGTCGCATCAGTTAAAGAAAAGAATAAAGATAAATTAGAGCTACAACCTGTTTCCACACCTCACATCCAGCAAAACAAAGTAAACAATATATCAACAACATCTGTATGTCAAGAAACACAGAAATCTAATAATCATTTCGAACAGGACTTACTTATCCCTCATGTACAGACTCAATCAAACCGAGTCTGCAATTCTTATGTTATTTTGTTGTGATTAATGCTTTCGAGGGATCACTTTGTTTCCAGAATTTTGTACTTCACAACAGCAGGTGTCAAGTGCCGTGTGGCAGCCGTAAAAAGTTGCCCCGTACTTCACTTCAGTGTTGTTATATTTTCTGGTCCTTCGGGATCATTGATGCCATCACTATAAAGTGTTGAGAATTGAGTACCGCTCAAGCCGGTGCTAGGGGGCGTGAGGGACGTTGCACTTATTCATTATCTCTCATGTACAAACTCAATCAAACCGAGTCTGCAATTCTTATGTTATTTTGTTGTGATTAATGCTTCCGAGGGATCACTTTGTTTCCAGAAATTTTTACTGTCACCACCAGATTATGGTATCTTACTTCAAGAAGATGCAGACAAACCATTTGATCATAGTGAAACAAACATGCCAACATACAGCACTTCAATCAATAGTATTAAACCATTTGAGAATCCACTCGCTATCAACACAACTACAACATTAAACAACAACAACAATAACAACAACACAGAAAATGATGCAATAAATGAATATACGGTAACAGATGAAAATGTACATAATGAACTAGAAGTACTTTTAAATGACAGTAGTGAATTTCAAACGCAACAAATGGAAAAAAATAAAAACATACAGGAAAAAAAATTAAAGAACAAGAAACTGAACAAGAAACACAAGACATACGAAAGAGACACATTGAATTTAAACAAGGGTTAAAACAATTGAAATGCCAAGAAGAAAAATTATTGAAAGAAAAACAAGAAGAAATAAAACAACGACAGAAACAACAACAACTTAAGGATAGAATTGAAAGAAAACAACAAACTGCAGAAACAACAATAGAAACAACCACAGAAACAACAATAGAAACAACAACAGATGATTAAACCGTCTTTTAAGAATAAATACATACCGGGTTTTAAACCCCAAACAGAAAACCCCTCATGCATTTTATCCCAGAACTTTCCTTAAAAGGGGCTTTCCCCCCAGCCCTATATCAACAAAACCAAATGTTCAATTTAAAATAAAAACAAAAGCATTTAAATGCGTTACAAACCCTTTCCGTAGTAAAGGAAAAATAAATTAACCCCATACAAAAGGGGGCACGCGTTTAAAAAAGAAAGGAAACCCCATTTAGAAAAGGGGGATTTAATATATTTCTAGAAAAAATTTAAAAAACCGAAACCCATAGATCATGAAATAAAACAAATGTTTCATAAATAAAAAAACATTGATGAACCCTTAACAGGAATAATACAAAAACGGTACTGAATAAATTATTGAATATTTTAGGGATGAAGGGTGATTATTTGTTTACTATGAACTAGTGATGGTGTTTGGATTATTTATTAACTATGAACAGTGATGGTGTTTGATTATTTTATAAACTATGAACAGTGATATGTGTGTGATTATTTATAAACTATGAACAGCGAAAAGTATGTTGATTATTTATAAACTATAAAACTATAAAACAGTGATAGTGTTTGTTTTTTGGTTATTTTTCTTATATATATATATATATATATATATATATATATATATATATAGTATATATATATATATATATATATATATATATATATATATATATATATATATATATATATATATCTTAAAAAAAACACTCGCCCCTTAGCCGCTGTAGGTTTGACACTCACCTCGGGGCGTTGAATTATTATTCAGGGCGAGGAAGTCCGCCAAGGAATCCAATGCGGAATACCTATCCACGTGGCGCACGCACTAACTATCCCTTTAGAACGTAACAGATATCGCGCGCACGTAATAGTATCGCGTGGCCACGTGATAGCTATCGCATGCGGGTGTAATAAAGAAGAAAATCAAATGTCCCCTTTATGCCACCATAGATACTACCTTGGTGTTGCTTAGAATATTTCTTTAATCATTTATAAGACTTTAAGATTCTGAAAGAAACATGTCACAATTAATAACAATAAGAATGGACTCGCTGCACTAAATGCTGCACTTATTGTAACATGCAGAACATGGATATTCTATTAGTTGATAAATGACTCCTATTCAGAGGCAGGAATTTTTTGATTGGCCGGAAGTGACCTTAAAAGGGTATTATAGATTCTGAAAACACAGAACAATGGCCTGTAGCCAGTATACGGACGAACATAATTTTACTTTTTTTAGAACTTTATGGAAGAATGTAAGACAAATGTGCTTCGAGTATCCTTTCTTTTGTGTGTCGAACACATCTGTCTCATTTCCAATTTGTCGCAAATATGAATGTTTACGAGTATATCGGTCACACCTCGTGGGACAAATGTGCTCCGAGACAAATGTGCTCCGAGACAAATGTGCTCCTACAGGGCTTAACTGTTGTACATGTTTTAGTGTATCATGTGCAAATTGCTGTTGCCTTCTGTAGGCTTCTCCGCAATTAGTATATCCATCCATCCATCCATCCATCCATCTATCTATAAGTTGCAAAGACTTGTTTCACAATCGAGCTTAAATAAATATGTTTAAACCATATTCAATAGTATCCCTGCCAAAATCATTTGTTTTAACATCTTCACATCTGAGTTGCTTATTTTCATTACCATCCCAGAGGCCAAAAAGAATTGCATTGTTTGACCATATTGAAGTTGCTTCCGAGAATCAGTTTCCGTCAGTTCCTTTTCACAAAGCATAAATATACTGTTGAGGAGCTCTGTACCATTAGAACGGTCACGTTTTCCTTTCCTTTTTACAAACTTTAATGCTCAGAAACTATCTAGTTTGTTGCACAGCTGCCAGCTCATCTGCCTGCTTTTGGGTGCTGTAGAGTCAAGGTCAAGGTCAATATTACTAAAAATAGTAAATCTGTTTCCAGGCACTAAGTAGAGTAAGGAATGAAATATTTCAATTACACTTGGCGTATAGCAAGCTTATGTAAAGATCTTGCTTTTGATTGATTGCTTTTGGGTCTGCTAAGGTAAAGTTCAAGGTCAGTGTTACTAAAATTAGAAAAAAAGGTTTCAAGTCAATAACTATAGTTTGAAATAAGATATTTTTAAGAAATTTGGTGTAAAGCAAGTTTTTATAAAGACCTCACTTTTTTGGGCTTTTGGGCCTCCTAGGTTCAAGGTTACTGTTTTCTAAAAAAGAAAATTCATTTTTTATAATTTACATTTCACAAAGTATCATTCTTTATATTGTATTTTAACTACAACAGATTTTTCTACAATTGGTTAATTGAAAACCTGGTTTCGTGGCATTGTCATGTTTCTTGTTCTTATTATTATGTGTATAGTACAGATTTTAGAATAGCTTCTTTTCGACAGCTTTGAAAAAGGAAATGATTTATGAGATAAAGACTAAATCAGTTCATAGATTTGTTTGATAATTTATGACATTGGAGATAGATCTGTCCAGTGATATAAGACACTGGAGATAGATTTGTCTGTAAGTATATAACACTAGAGATAGATCTTTCCAGTTATGTATGAAATTTGAGATAGATTTGTCCAGTGATATATGACATTGGATCTTGATTTGTCAGGTGATATATAACATTGGAGATATATTTTTCTGTAAATATATGACATTGGAAATAGATCTGTACAGTGATATATGATATTGGAGATAGATCTGTCCGATGATATATGACATTGGAGATAGATCTGTCCGATGTTATATGACATTGGAGATAGATCTGTCCAGTGATATATGACATTTGAGAAAGATATGTCCAGTGATAAATCACATTGGCGATATATCTGTCCAGTGGTATATGACATTGAAGATGGATCTGTCCGATGATATATGACATTAGAGAAAGAACTGTCCAGTGATATATGACATTGGGGATAGATCTGTCCAGTGATATATGACATTGAAGACAGATCTGTTCAGTGATACGTGACATTGGAGATAGAGCTGTCCAGTGATATGTGACATTGGAGATTGATCTGTCCAGTGATATATGACATTGGACATTGATCTGTCCAGTGATATATGACATTGGAGATAGATCTGTCCAGTAATAATGACATTTGAACCAGAGTTCAGTTATACATGTATATAAAATTTGTCTTCATGCTGTAAAATCTATCTGCCACATTTAAAAATGCCATATTTTTATTGTGTAAATGAGTTTTATATGATATTAATTTTAGGTATGTATATATGTTTATAGTATTGCCCTTAATTATTTCCTCTTTCTTTTTTTTTGAGAAAATATTAAACTGTTGCTTTATTGCATTTGAAATAAAAATAAAAATAAAGGCAGTGTTTGTGAAAAATGTAAACACAGTATTTTTAAGTCATTTTAACAAAATATGCTCATGGTTTGTTATTGTGACCTCCTACAGTCTGTGTTTTGTTGTCAATACTTTCTTTAAACAACATTTTTTTCAACAAATACAAATGAACTGGATATTTTCTTACTTGCACATGAATGCTTCTTGGGTAATCCACAATCAAAGGTTTGCAAATTGTTCCGCACATTGGCCTAAGTAGGTTACAAAAGGGGTTATAAAAACTGTGAATTTCTGAAATAATCAAGGATTTTGTGTGGAGGCTAATAAGTAGGTAATATGTATTCATTTAAGGTCAGTCAGACAAAGGTCAAGGTCACTTGCTTTAGCCATTAAAAGCTTGTTGCACCAATAACTTGAGATCACTTTGATCTACAATCATGGTTAGGTTTTTAGTCAATTTTTAGTCAATTTGTTAAAGGTCACTGAGACATGGACAACTTAAACCTTGTGAACTTTAAACTCTTTGGTCAAGGTCGCTCGTGGCTATAACTTAACACTTAAAAGTGTTCAGTCCAAAGAGTTGGTGTGAAGGTTTGAGTGGTTAGTAGATGGTCGCTGTTGAATTTAAGGTTAGCCTATCTGCTTCATTGTTAAAGCCTAGTCTCAACCACAAAATGCCTTCAACAGGTCTTGGAATCTTAATTTATCTATTTCTTGCTGTTGATTTATTGCTGTTGCATATTTGATAGAAATCCCACTATTTAAACATAAAATTTGAATTTCTTATAGAGATCAACAAAGGCGCAACATTGAAACAGAAATATGTGCAAAAGATATTAAAAATATATCTTGAATGAATTGGAAATACATTTTTGTGTTATTTTAACCAACTTTGAGTCAAAAGCACTGCAACACTTCAATTTTGGATCATTTTTCACATTACAGAAAATCATTCTGGAAAGTAAATAATTTGAAATTTTGGCAGACAAGTTATTGGTCTAGACTTGAATCAAATGGAACATTAATCTTGAAAAAAAGTCAGTCATGTCAAACAATCTCAATGGAGTCCCTTTAAAGCCTAATGTATCTTAAAAACAAGCTGAAAATAAAGAAAACTGTGTTAATGGAGCATTTCCTGTTAATTTTTATAGATTGTTTTTGTATAAATGTAGAAATTCTTGATTTATGCATGTGTTTTTTGAAGAGTTTGAGTTTCAAATATTGTTTTATATGACCAATAATATTCTGTACCAAATATTGTATGTTACAGTACACTATTGTTTTATATCTTGTGTTTGTAGTTGTGTTTTCAAGTCCCAGAATAAAACTTTCATATATATATTTCTCTTGTGAACACCAGCTATTGCTTTTTCACTCATGGCTACTCCACTAGTGAAAATATTGCATATGGTGTCCACTCAGTGATATATATTTCGATCTTACATGCAAAAACAACAAATATCCTATATGAACATCCGAGCCAAACAAACATGTGAACTGGGTATTTCTTTTCATCAATATTCAAATATGCCTTTATTAAATGGAAATATTGATTCTGATTTTGGTATTTTTATGTCGCCTCTACAGAGTATTGGCGACACATAGGAATCACTTCTCCGTCTGTCCATCAGTCACAAACCTTGTACGGACAATTCCTCAAAAAACTTGTCCGGTCTATTCCTCAAAAAACTTGCCCCCACTTTTTAAAAAAAGTCCGGGCTATTCTCAAAAACTACTGATGCATTTCATCCAAATTTACAGGGAATTTTAGTACCCAAGCCTAAAAGTGCAATATATTTTCCGGGCAGAGTTATGGACCCCTTTTAAGATTAAATTTTTTTAAAATTGTTTGGACTTTCTTTTTATGCTTTTAATGAAGTTCAATAAACCCTTTAAGGGATTGTTCGGGACATTATATTTTTTCGGGGTATAACACAATTTCTGGGTTTAAAGATTTTTGGCCCCCTTTTTTTGGCCTAGATTTCCTAAAGGGTGTTTTTGTGTTGCCAGCTACACAGAAGCTTGTCCGGACCACCCCTCAGAAACAACTGGTGCAATTTCATTCAACCTTTAAATGTGCATATCTTCGGCATTTTCCGGTTCAATTATTTATGTCAAATATTTTTATTTTTGAAATTTATTGATTTCGATTTTTATACCGCTAATACTCCTACAAGTTCATTGAAACTTTACAAGATGTAGTGGTAGCTTAAGTTCTTGCGCAGATAACATGGGTTTTCCAGTTGAATGATTTTTGGCTGAGTTATGGCCCTTAAATAGAAAATGCGTTTTGCCCTGTTATAATGTTTGTGTATCATGCTAGACAGTAGCTTCAATATGCGATTGGCTATCGTATGGTGACTTATTTGATCACTGACCTCTCTTGACTAAGAATGGGCAAATTATTTCAATAATTAAGCTTAATTAAGCTTACATAAAAGCTAAGAGGCGAGCTTTCGTGAAAGCAGATTGTTGTCTTTGTCCACTATTTCTTTAAGTATCTTGTAAACATCTCCCTTTTATATCAACATAATCATAACTTTTTGATTGAACTAATGAAATACTTGCAAGTATTTTTGATTTTCCCTCAATTGCTAAGAAAATCTCAAACCCAGAATGACTGGGTACACGTACTGCAGGCGATTATTACAGTGGGGGCACAATAAAATCATTATTGACTCAATTTCCTGGACTATCCAGTACTGGTGTCATGAAATAACAATTTCTCATAGTTGAGCTCAAACCCATAATAACTGGGTGCACGTACTGCAGGAATAATGATAACTAACATAAGAATCTGTTACATAATTTTATTATCATAAAATATATTGAAAACAATATTTTATAAGTACTGAACATTAATTATTAAACAATGGAATATGTTGTTAACATATTCCAATTGCTTAATTCAGTTCTTACAGTATCATCATTAAATAAAAAAATGACATGATATGGTTATCTTCCATGGTAAAATAAATATAGGATATTGAATGAGTGTAAGTTTAGTACTGAATTTATTGTACGAGTTGAATAGAATTATATAATGCGAGCCTCTGGCGAGTATAACAATATTTTATTCAACGAGTTCAATAAATTTAGTAATGACCGTACACGAATTTAATATTATGGACGCGCCAATATTAAAATGCTAACATTTAGCGCATCTTAACGCTATGCTTATATAACGCAAATGACGACACGTCAAAATATATGCACGGCCGTGCACTTCTGTTTTTACGGAGTCGCAAAATCGGTATGTGATAATGTCTAATATTTACAGTTTACAAATAACAATATAATATAGGTATATATCTTGGTGAAATAATTTATAATATTTACAGTGTAAAACAATGACATGATCAAGTTATCTTACAGCTATAGTTATCTCATAAAAATGAGTGATAAATCTTGGCTACCAGTACAGAGCCAGGCCAGCTTGCACATCCCTGAAGTATGACCAGGCTCTATACTGTTGGATGACAGACATTTTTTTGTATCGGGTTTTGCATTGCGCCAACACTGATGTCATAATGGGGAATTTTAAGCTTTTATTGTGAAGTAAGTCATCAAGTGCCCTCCGAACATTATTGCAGACACAAACAAATACCTTAGTAAAGCCACCAACGTTCTGTAAGCAAGCTGGATAGCATCCTTACCACAAGAATACATAGTCCGTGGTGGGACTCAAACCCACAGCAGTAGGGGCAAATGACGCGTAGTTTCATTTATAAATACCAAAAACTCAATATGGACTTGTCTAAAAGGTAGCTGGACAAATCCATTGATGAAATTTACGGTTATATTTTTATTATTCTTGAAACATAAATATCTACTTAAGAGTAATCATAACTTGAAAATTAGTAGTTTTAGTTTAAACAAGAGCTGTCGCTGAAAAGTGACTTATGCCTCCGAAAGGAAACTTTGACATAAATCTGAAATATATGACAAAGTACCGGTAAAATATCCCTGACCACCTTTGAAAAATACCATTCCCAAAACTTAACTGAAATTCCATAAGAAGTGTAGGAGAAATACTCTATAAACAAATTTTACTGTAAAAATTCATCATCAATGGTACATAACTGTGGAAAAATATCATGCACAAAATCATGGCACAATGCAAACAATTATATAAATTTTCACTGAAATTTCCCAAGAAGTATGGAGATGAACGACGGACAAAAATAATTTACTCAAAAATCAAGATACTATGCACAATCCTGTGAAGTTTCATTTAAAACCCTCATCGGTTTTTGAGATGAAGCGTGGACAAGATTATCAAACAGACAGTGCGATTACTATATACCGCCCTTAAATTGTCGAATTAAATGAGTACAATGTTTTATACATATATATTATTTTTATGTATTCAAATGTTTTTATTTCTAATTAGATTATTATCTAAAAAGTTATTGCAACTGATGTCTAATAAAAAAATGAATAATAATATTTTGATGTCATCATTGGATTGACAAATTGAAAAAACACATGGAAAAACTAACTGTAAACCATTAAAAAGCATGTAATTTACACAAAAATATACAAAAGGCGGTCATAGCAGACTTAAATTTTCTTCACTCGGGAGAACATTTTGAAAGAAAAAAATGGGGCATTGACATTCAAATACATGTGAAAGGGCTTTAAACTTAAAAGCTCCGATCCTGCAACATTTGTTGTTTTCAGTTTTGTCTTTTTGGGCGTTCTTTAAGGATTCTGTTTTTCTCTATTTTAATTACTAGTATGAAAGATATTCATCCATAAAAATTCAAGCTGTTATATTTCAATAACGTTTTGAGTTATTGACAAAAAGATATATAAAGTATTCATATTATCAAATGGAGAGTTGACATTCTTGTCAACTGCATAATCATTCAATTGTTTCAAATGAATAACCCAACCCTAAAGCTTTGATAAATTAAGTTCTGGACAAAAATTATGCAAAAGAGAAACATTACAACAATTAAACATGAAAATGATAACAAAATGATAAAGCATGAAAAAGTGCAATAACCCATTAAAATACAAATTGTAAATTATCATTCTTGCAGAATAAACTCCTCCTGAATAACATTTTTTTCACATATCTCAAATACATTTTGTTTTATACAAAGAAAACAAACTATAAATGGAAACAAAGGACACTTTCAAAACAAAAATCAACATTAAAGTTTCAAGTCTATACCTCAAATACATTTTGAGTTCTAAAAAAGAAGACACACTACACATGACGACAACAGAACAAAACTTTTTTTCGAAGTTTCCAGTTTACATCTCAAATACAATTTTGCGTTATACAAAGAAGATAAACTTTGAAACTTTCAAAACAATAGGAACAATAACTAAAAAAATATCCTTTTTGTGTACTGCACTTTTTCTCAATGAATTACATCAACCATTGAAGTTTCAAAAAATTAATATATACAACTATTTCAAAAACATTAAGTATTACGCTCCAGATAAAATTGAGGGCCTTTTTAAAGGGTTAATTAATATAAACACCTGGAGGCGTGTCGCTATAATAATTTCCATTATAAGGAAAAATAAAAGAATTTATTTAATTCAACCCATAAAATATTGTGCTATATCAGCTAAACATACATATCATTTTTGTGAAAATACAAATATGAGAAATGAATATAAAAGTGGGTGAAGTCAAAACTCATATTTATGTTTAGGACTACTTTTTCAGATGCTTCACTTTTGCAATGTTTTTTTTTCTTCTTTCCAAGACGGTTTAATGGCTGTGATAAATTGTGTATTGAATTCGAACCGCTTTATGCACCTATAGATAATCAATGCATGCCTGCGACCCGTACAATTGCAACTGCATGGCAAATAGGTGTATTCGTAAACAACTTTTATTCTTGAAGGAAAAACTAAATAAAAAGGTTTTTTTTTTCGTGAAATATAGAAAATGTTTGCACTTAACATGATAAAATTCTATATATTTCACTCACCTTTCTGGCTCGTGAAAATATATGGAATTTCATCATGTTTTGTGAAAATATAATAATAGATGAGCTAAAATATTTCAATAAAATCAAACTTGAGGAAATGTTCCAAGATTTTAAGAAAAGTAAAAAGATTTAAGATTCAATTAATAATTTACATGTTTTGTATGATTACTGACTAATTTAAGTACAGAATACATCAACATACTTTTGTTTCGTTACTAACATAAGTAATGGTAATTTACATGAATTATAGGCACTGTTTGCAATGTGTCAATTACTTTTTTCACTTCACAATATTTAACTTTTAAATACAATTTCAAAATTTTCATGAAAAATATCATGAATCAAAAGGAAGCTGCTTGAAATGCATGTTATTCCTATCACATCTATCCATCACACATATTATGTACAGATTAGAAAAAGTGTGCAATTTGATATAAATTGCGTTTGTTCAAAATTGCACTATGTATTGTCATTAAAATACTCAAGTCTGCTAATATTGTTATCAAATTTATATCAAAATTGTACAATATTCTAAAGTAGTCCTTATCTAGGAGACATTCAGCTTTAAAAAGACATCACTCCACACACAATGACTATTTACAAATAAAATTAAACATACACTAGCTAAAATACAATGGTAACTCAAATATACAGTTTAATGAAATAATATTGCATGCTTGAAACGTCACTTTTCCTTGGATGATCATGACGTTTATATAGACCATATACACCTCTCTGTCAATTTATGAACTATTTATTTTCTGTAATGAAGGTACTTTGCTGTATTATAAATTCATTATCAGATTACTTATAGGTTATATGGCCATATTTAAACAGTTGTAAGCAATATAATCTTCACCTATCAGCTCAGGTTATATGTGCAAACAGCCGTAACAAATTCAGAATCTTTATAACTAAAAATATACCCGGCAAATGCATATTACCATTAATTGTTTCAAAGCAAAGGGAGCAAGATAGCAATATTATTATTTGGTTATAAAGACATATAAAATGTTATATGGCCGTGCATAAAATGTTGTTTGTTATATAACCATCATTTGGTGACTCGGGTTATGTACTTTAAGCATGTTATACTGGGCAATATAACCTTTCAAAATCATTATGAATTATATTGTATCTTCATATACATAATTTCCGTGTATCACAAAAATAAAAACAATTTACATGAATGTTTGTTCAGAAAACTAAATTATTACAAAGAAGAGCGAAGCTGTAAAAACACAAATCTGTAAATATCATACACACTTCAAAAACTGTTTACAAAACAATACATTTGTAATACTCTTGAGGCAAATTAACAAAATATGCAAGGAAAGGCGGCGTTCAATGAACGCAACCCCCTTACGCAACAAACACTGCGCTATACTAACGAGGCACATTATGCCTCAGAAAAAAACATTCTCTAGGAAAGTCAAGCATTTCTTAGATATTGTTTTGATAATGTTTAAAGAGCATGTTAGATGTTTAACAAGTGAAAATAGCACTGAACCTGCAGTAATGTGTAATAAAAGTAACAAATTGTAAACAAGAAATGTCGAACGACATATATGCCCCCTTTTCTAGCCCTTGACTAATATTATTGGTAATTTGTTATAGAAACTTGCCATAAATGGGTACATGGAAGTGTTCAATTATGGAAAAAGCAAAATAATGAAGACTTTGTGATAAATAGTTTGCAAGATAATGAGACATGTAAGGCCCCTGTGACCTTGACCTTTGAACTAGTGACCCAAACCCCCAAATGTGGTCATCTAATTGTTATGACCAATCAATATTAGAAATATGAAGACTTTGTGATAAATGGCTTTCAAGATAATGAGCGGAAACCATACTAACATTCAAGAACCCTGTGACCTTGACCTTTGACCTAGTGACCCCAAAATCAAAAGAGGTCACTTATTAGTTATGACCAATCAGTATGTTAAATATGAAGAATTTGTGATAAATAGATGTCAAGATAATACGCGGAAACTATTCTGACATTTAAGGCCTCTGTGACCTTGATCTTTGACCTAGTGATCCCAAAATCAATACCTGTTGGTTATTACCAATCACTATGTGAACTATGAAGACTTTGTGATAAATAGTTTTCAAGATAATAAGCAGAAATCATACTACCATTCAAGGCCCCTGTGACCTAGAACTTTGACCTAGTCACCCTAAAATCAATAGGGGTCATTTACTAGTTATGACCAATCAATAATGAAATATGAAGACTTTGTGATGAATACTTTTCAAGATAATCAACGGAAACCATTCTGACATTTATGGCTCCTGTGACCTTGACCTAGTGACTCCAAAATTAATAGGAGTTATGTACTAGTTATGACCAATCACTAAGTAAAATATGACGAATTTGTGGTAAATGCTTTTCCAGATAATCAGCAGAAACCATTTTGACATTTAAGGCCCCGGTGACCTTGACCAAGTGACCCTAAACCAATAGGGGTCATCAACTAGTTATGCCCAATCACTATGTGAAATATGAAGACTCTGTGATAAACAGTTGTCAAGATATTCAGCGGACACTATGTGGTCTACCGACGGACAGACAATCAGACAGACATTAGCAAAACAATAAACCCCCTCTTCTTCGAAGGGGGCATTACACTTTAAGTAGTATTTTGACTTCCATACTAATTTTGATTCACTTTTATTATACAAATTGCCAAAACAAAACAAAATCAGCATCACTATTTTTAAATGATGTATATGGCAAAAGGGTTTATGTTTGGAAACTGTTTTCAAAAATTAAATAAAACTGACATAATTTCTGAAGCATAATGGGCCTTTAATAAAAAAATACTTAACAATTCTTGTTATATAATATCATTCTTAAATTGCATAAACAGATTTATACATGTACCGTATATCTAATTAATAAATTAAATTATTTAACAATACCTTTTTTACATAAAAAATTTTTTCGAAGGACTGAAATATTTGACAGTGGTCTTGGTGTAATTGTTATTAAGATTCAAATTCTAATTGTACAAAACAGATACGAGATAACTGTGTAATGGAAAAAGTTTTCTATTATGTTTCCTTCCATTAAGCCAGGAACCAGAAAGTTATTCAATGTATTGGCAAGTAATGATCGTTTGGGGATTTTTCTGCTGCCGTAATCACATATTTATTTGACATATGTCCCCCGAACAGCCAGGTATCAGGTGTGAAATCATAACATTGAACTATTTAAGAACTTTAAAATCTTTGTCATTCAGAACATTTCACTGATAATCATCCGGAGATTGATGGATAAAAAGCCAAACAGTTGTGATTGTCCTCATTGTCCCTGTAGATTTATTATAGCTGATTTTCTGAAATAAAAAAGCAAAAAGTCATCAGTATGACATCATCTAGCAGGAATTTCCTATTCTTACACTGTTACAGTATATTTATATGCGTTTTGAATATATTGATGTTTTCCTGTCAATTAGCTTACCAATCCAAATTACTTTAATAGACTTGTCAATCATTCAACCAGGACAGAACCATTTACCATATAAGGGAAAACTATGAAAATATTCATGTATATGCCGGTAGATCTTGGTCTGCATTGGTCGCATAGGTAGAATATGTTACCGCCAGGAGGTTTAGAGTTAAGGAACCGGACCAGAGAGTATTCAAGAAGATTCACTCATCTCTCATATTTCAAAAGAAAAAATTTGTTATTGTAATTTAAGTAAGATCTGCAAACACATCCGATATAATTTTGTGATTTGCGATTGATTGTATTCTTTGATAAATTAATGTATTGTTGATATTTGTCTGTCAATAAATTGAAATAAAATCGATACTTTTGCCTTATCAATGAGAGGTTTAAAAATGATAAAATTAGCAAAGAATATAAACATTGAAATGGGCATGTCTATATCTATCTAACCGTCGCAACTTGATGAACTTATCTTATTTTGTTAATTGACATATTTTATAGCAGTGATAATAACAAGAGCTGGCAGAGGAGACAGCACACTCTACTAAATAAATCCACAGGTAAAGGAAGACAAAACTATGGAAAAATAGAAAATGATACAAATATATTTTTGTATCATCTTATCAAGAAAGCGCTCATATGTTCAATATATTTGCACCACATAATTTGCATGATACCATGTCAATAAAAGTTAAACATAGATTTCTATGCTCTAATAAAAAAGAAAACAATCTGAGTCATTTTCCCTTCAGTGACAAACATGATCAGAGCAATATTTTTTTTAATAAACCTTAAGTTCAAAGAAAAAATTACTCTTGAAACAGAGATGCTTAAGTTATAAACCTTGTCATCCATAATGTGAATAATGACAAAAAACAATTATATCAAGTCTAAAGTAGATATCCTTTATATAACAAAAATATTCTTAGAGATATATATCAAAAAATTAAACAAAGATAGTTCTGGATTATACAGGAGTTCTAATTCCACAAGATAATTCTTTGATTACAAACATACTTTTAAATATGAAATAAAGCCCTGAAGAAATATTCAAGTTATATAGAAAAAAAAATAGAAAAAAAATGAGAAAAATAAAAGGTGAAGATATTTCTGATTATATATTTAAACAATAGGGTTATAAATTTATTGTCATATTATTTTGATAGGGTTTTATATGACAATTAAATTTATTGTTGAAGTAAATTTATTGTTGAAGTAAATTCTTCAAAAAAAATTAAACGGTTAAAGCCATACAATATATTTAAAGTTTGGAGTTGATACCTTAAGAAAAAAAAGACATACTAGTAAAGAAATTAATACTGCACAAAGACTTTAATTTGAAATCTGCATACCGACGTAGATGAAGCCAACGCTGGGAAGAGTGAGACTAGGACAGCTCTTAAGCTTGGTCAGTTAGGCTAAAGATCAACAGAAAACTGAGCATGCATGCAGTATGCATTGATATACATTACAAATTATAATTTAATACAGTGACAGACAGTCACCATATGGAAATCATGTACCATGTAAAAGGGTAACAAGGTGAACTATGGATACATTTTACTCGACGTATCAATTTGTCATTGATATTTAGTATCATTACGATATTGATAGAATCGTTGATATGCTTTTGACTGTATTAATTACAATTCTTCAACAAATACCTCCTAATCCCTTCTGGAATTGTGGAAATTATTCAATATATCTTTGCATATTTTCAAAGAGATTATCTTCAAGATTCTATTGTACAAGATATGTTTGTGAAGCATCTATGTCCCCTACCGGCTGCCAATAAGTAATGTTGTCAAGTCATTTTCACATTGACTTTTAACCTAGTGACCCCATATTGACATGTATATAGGAATTATGCAGACAAATGCACCTGGGAAGTTTTATAGCCAAGGGCCCATTAGTTGTCAAGTAATCAGTTCGAATCTGTTTTGAAATACAAAATTAATATGATCTTGGCATTTGACCCCTTGAACACAAAATCAATAGAAATCATCTACTGGCCAAAACCACGGATTTATATTACATTATTATATAATATAAATCCGTGCCAAAACCAAAGCAGCTGTGAAAATTGAAGAAAGATAACTCCTGTACCTGTACTTATTTGCCAGATAATCATCGTGGGAGTTAACATATAGTATAGTTAGTTTGTTTAGACATGCTTATGCTTAAAAATAAACAATTATATATTTCAAATTCTTTCAATTGTTATTGGAAAAAAATACGTATATTTCAACTTTAGTTTTGTACTCAGTATTTTGTACCCAGTCTACAGTAACGACATTTTTATCTCAGACCAATACTTTTTTAAGGAAAGATATAAATCATGTTTACTTTTCTTTAATTCTTATTTCAACTATAGTTGTTCAACCTGGAGTACACGGACTGACAAAGGCAGAATTAAAAATAATATGATACATTTTCAACAAAACATGCCAACAGAAAAAGAGAGAAAAATATCAATGACTCTTGATATGAACTAATTTTGCTGTGTATGCTAAACTGAAGTCCCAGTCTGTCTTTTGTTTTGTTTCACATTGAACCATTATTTTCAATATTTTATTTATAAACGATTTTCTTACACAAAAAAGAAGAAAAAAATGCATTTTACCACTCACTCTAGATTTTGAGGGGTAAAAAAACCAACCTTTGGCCAAAAACAAATAAAAATTATCTAAATCACTTAGTGCAACCACTTTTTGTGATGCCGTAAGTCACTTAGTTGTACCCCTCCTTCTTCTAAGTGGGCATAACAATGTTAAAGGCACATTATGCCTCAGAAAGGAATAAAAACGATTCTTTAGGTAGGGAAAACATGGGATTTGTTACTGTAAACTAACAGTTTAAAAACTTGTTAGATTCTTTTAACCTGAAGAAAGTAGGGTTGAATGTGAAATAACATGTCAAAAAAGTAGCAATTAAATGTAAACAAATTAGTATTTAGACTTCCATACAAAATACTATATCAGTTTAATTGTTCTCATTGCCAAAAAGCAAAAGGTGATTTAGATTGTTGGCAAATGGGTAACTTGTTGAAAACTTTAACGGAACGCCAGAAATAGAAAGCTATTGAGAATTAAAAATAAAAGCATATCAGGGCATAATGGGCCTTTAATTTAAATAAACAGTTAATTAGGCTGTCCATCATAAAGATATTTGAAAAGTCTTACCAAGACAAGAGGAAGTTGCTCAAATACATATCTTCAAATTGATCTATCATCACACAATGCTCCGTATAAAATGTCACGGGAGATTCTGCACAACAAAGAATCTGAAATTTTGATCCAAGGCCACTGAAACAAGAAATAACATATATTGTATAAATTGAAAAACATTGACGAAATTGTACAATTCTTATCTAGTTCAACATTTTACTTACGAGCTTATGTGTGGTTTACTGATTTCCATGAAATATAAGTTATTACAGGCGGCAGAATTCTTTAATAACTGCCGTTAAGAAATGTGCCGTCATGATTTAAAACTCTTGCCTACTTGTTTTACGTTTTCTGGTAAGTAGGTATCAAAATACCCTTTTATAAATATGAGGCAGACTATGAAAAACAAATTCTGACTTTTAAATGGCAGACACAAAAATAAACTAGAGGCACTCAGAACAGTTGTTATGTCTGAGTATGAAGAAACAAAAGCTGTCGTTAGAACAGCCTGCTCGATTATTCATGCTCGATTATTCTAAGTGCTTGATTGTAAAAGAACCTTCATAATTCATGTAAACTAATATTTTTATCTAAAGGGGCCAAAACATTTTTTCAAATCCATGTAACAGATATAGACCTTTGAGAGTGACATATTATGCTGTGTACAAGTGTATAAATTTCAACTTGTTTCAAAACCATATGTCAGTGCACTTAGAAAATATTTGAGGTGGTAAACAAACCTTAATGTAAATTTTAAGTAAAAAAAGAGGCATAATTATGACAAAATGCTTCAAAGAGTTACATCCTCCTGTCTACAGGTTTGGTGCATAAAGGTGAAAAAGTCTGCAAAGTTAAAAAACCATACATGTATGTCAATGGATATTCAAAATATTTGAAGTGGTACACAAACTTTAACATAAATTCCAAGTCGAGAAAGGGGGCATTATTTTGTCATAATGCTTGATAGAGATACCACCTCCTGTCTCCATATTGCGGGCATGATGGTGAATAGGTGTGCAAATTTTCAAAGACATATATCAATAAACTTTGCAAATATTTAAGTTGGTGCGCAAACTTTTACATAAATTCTAACACAATGCTTAACAAGTTTACCTCTTCTTGTCTACAGGTTGGGGGCATGATGGCGAAGAGGTCTGCAAAGTTTCAAAGCCATATGTCATCGGACTTTAAAAATAATTGAGTTGGTACGCAATTTTCATGTAAATTTTAAGTAAAAAAAAGGGGCATAATTCTGTCAAAATGCTTGAAAGGTTTACATCCATTTGTCTACAGGCTGGGGGCATGAAGTCTACAAAGTTTCAAAGCCATATGTCAATGGACGTTGAAAATATTTAAGGTAGTACGTACATTTTAATGTGAATTCTAAGTCGAAAAAGGGGCATAGTTCTGTAACAATGCTTGAAAAATTTACCGCCTCTTGTCTACAGGTTGGAGCATGATGGCAAACAAGTCTGCAAAATTTCAAAGCCATATGTCAACGGACTTTTTGAAAATAATTGAGGTGGTAAGCAAATTTTCATGTAAATTTTAAGTCGAAAAAGGGGCATACTTCTGTTGAAATGCTTAAAATAGTTACCTCCTCCTGTCTACAGGTTGGGGCATGAGTTTCAAAGCCATATGTCAATGGACTTTGAAAATATTTAAGGTAGTATTATTTAAGTGTTCATATATTCATGTGCCTTAATTGACTAAGTTAATTATTTATTTTAACTATAAAATGTACTTTAAGAATCAAAAATTTATGAAAAATTATTAAGTGTATTTTTTATTAATATATAAAGATTTTTTTATGTAATAAAAAGAAAATCTTATAATATTATTCAATTAGAATAATCTATTGCAAGATATGTAAAATGAAATAATATAAAAAAATGAATAATTCAATTAAAAAATCTCTTACCTGTGAAATATTTCCAAATCCTAATAGATTTAACTCACTACAGGATTGGAGCAGTACCTTTAGAAGCTTGCAGAAATCATGATCACAAAATAGACAAATATCGTTTTTTTCGCCGGTTTTTATATATCATTTTTCATGCATTATCATACATAAATCGGTGTGAAAAGATGAATTAGACCTTTTAAAGTTCATTCCGTTGGGTGAAAAGGCAAAAGTTTAGCATTTTATCATTCAAGCGTCTTGTCCGGTATATACCGGAATACGGTATTTAGTGTGGTGCTCCATCACACTCAATCCTAATTCCAAGTTTTACTGTATCCATTAAATTCCAGTAAAAAAACTTCCTTGAATTTTTTCTATTCTTAAAAATGTTTTTATTTAATTATTTTTAAACAACTGTCACTTAATTAAACTTTAAACAGAAATAAATGTTTGAAAATTAAAAGACCAAACTATACAGTACATGTACTTATAACGTAGACGAAGTTGCTATTTTGTTTTTTAAGTGTCCATCTTTAAATTGTTTTCATTTAAAATTATTGAAGTCATTTCTTCAGTTTATTTTACAATGTTTTTCCTTTGTTTATTCTTTACTTGGTCTCCTTGTTTTGAACTCAAAACAGTCGTAGTCTTCTATCACATGAAAAATTTGTGATTTCCGAATATTTTCTCTAAAAAGTTCATATTCTGTTTCCGGTTTGATGGCGGCCATCTCTACTGTAACTGACTGCGGTAGACTTTCCAGGACGGTAATGAAGTTCTGTAAACTTCCTGCAGGCATTTCTATAAAGTACAACAACACACGTTTAATATTCAACATGTCACGCGACAGTAACAATGAACTTTCATCTAGATTGATGCCCAGCAACACAACATTAACTAATGACGGTGTTGTTATATTTAATTGTAGCCTCCAAGGTAACTTCTGCAAATGTAACTTTGATAGAGTTGAATGTTGAGAAAAGTCCAAGTGCAATCTCTTGCAATCATGGTAGCCATGTTCTTTACATAATAACCACTCCAATCTTAACTCTTTCATTGATTTTTGACCGGAGATAAAATTGAAAAATGGTTCCAGTATTTTGTGAGATAACATGAAGTGTCTAATATCTAAATAATGTAAGTTTTGACATCGCGCTAAATTTTCACTCAGATTGTCTTCATCATTTGTCCATTTACCATACTGCAAAGTTAGGTACTGCAAACTGGGAAACAATATCCGGGATATCTCAGCCTCCTTCTCATTGCTGCCACCACTATAGTTAAATGTCTGTATATGACTGAGATCTGTGATAGAGAATAAATCTATAATTTCACGTAAACTTCTGGAACGAGGACTGGTTTTTATATAAAGTGAGTTTATGCTGGTTTTATTTTGTTTTAACAAACGTTTTAACTGATCACTGTCCACGGTGTACTGGTCAATGAAAAAATCTTGTAAACATGATTCAATATTTTCACTTTCAGGCATTTCTTGTAAACACGACATGAACATTTTCTGTATGTTATACAATGGAGTATTGTACACGGAGCTCTCGTCACCTGTCTTATTTCTATAGCGTAATGTTTTCTCGTCTTTATTTATCACAGACATCAAATCTTTTGATATTTCACACACCAGGTCAGCATTCATTTTACTTATAAATTCACAAATGTTTGACATGTCTAGAATGTCTTGAACATTTCTACATTTTTCTACAACAATTTTCTGAGCCTCATTTTCAGAACTTATAAATATTGCAGCAAAGAATTCCTGAACTGTTTTGTGAGAAAATGATACTTTAGTAAACTTTCTTGTTAATGATTTAGATGTACTTTCTGACAAAATTCCTGAGTGAATGGTGAATTTCATCTGGTCTGCTGAGAGATATCTTTTAGCAACAGATCCATCAAATACGAGCGTGTTTTCTCTTGTTTCATTGAATAATGTATAATAAGCCAATTTCCCCAAACACATAAGGAGTGGGTAGTATTTCGTACAGTTTTCATATTCAGCAAAGCATTCTGGGATGTCACTATCAGAAAGGTCACGCAATTGTTGAAAATCTCCATGCTTCTGAATCGTTCTTGATAAGAGCAGCTCTACTATGTTTATATAGAGTTCACATTTGGAATTTCCTATTTGAACATCGTCACACCACAAACAAATTGTATATATCAATAGTAGAGGCACAGAGGTAAGTTCATCATTTTGTCTGCGTTTGATATCTGATATGAACACTGTGACATCACTTTGTAATGCATCCTTATTCGGGTGAGATTTCAATCTTTGTAATATCCTTTCTGTAAGTGTAACTGCTGAGTCGTAACTTAGTTTTGTAAGTTCTACCTTTTTCCCAATTTGACACGAATTTAGATTTAAAACTCCTAATTTCCATGGTCGCGTAGTGGTCAGTATTGTACATTTCTTTCGGTCATTCCTATGAGGGAATGATCGCGGCGATCTGTGACATTCCTTTTCGGGATGGGTCCATTCATCAAGTCCATCAAGTATAACGAGGCATTTCTCATTTTTCAAAATTTTAAGGAGAAAATCCTCGGAAGGCTTTTCTTCTAGACCCAAATTTGAAACAATATTTCTAAATATGAGATCATCTATAGAACATAAATTGTTCGAATCTCGCAGTAAGACCAGAAATAAGAAATCAAATCCCTGCATACAGTCTATATCATCCTTTTCAAAAGACATGTTTTCATCTGGAAAATGAGCTTGACACCACGTGATCGCCAGATAGTTTGAAAATGCACTTTTTCCGAGACCAGCATCAGCAATAACATGTATTTCTTGGTTAGCTTGATTTCCGGTTTTAAGCATCGCCGATAACGATATGACTCGTCTTTTTTCGACATTTCTCGTCTGTGCTGAGATTATTAGGTTCAATTCAGGTCTTATGTAGAAAGAGTCCAAAGGTGTGTCATTTTCTTCGAAAAGGGGCGACAGGAAAACTCTACTGTGTCTCGTTTTGTAGAAATCAATTAAACCATCTTTGAGCTCTGATAATTGAAAAGTAATCTGTTAATAACTAAGGAATATAAACTAATGATAATCAGATTATATATAGTTGAACTTTAAACTTTTATGTTATTTAAAAAAAATGTTACATTCATCATTGTGCATGAGAGTAACAATTAACAGTACTTATGTTACACGGATTCAAAGTGTGTGCCTAATTGATAAATATCCATTTATTTGGTTATGTGCTCTATTCTGCATATTTGTACTGATATAAACAGAAGGGTCAGAATTTAATAACATGAACTGACATAGAAACTAGACATAGCCGACACGCCAAATGCAATCATTCAATGGAAAGGGACAATTGCCTTAAAAAGCCCTAACCGTCAAACTATGTAGGTGATGTAAAAAACAACAACAACACACATGCAATCATGTCTAAAATTTAAATTTGAACTGTATGACACAAGAGAACAGATTTTATCCATTTGTTTGGATATATGTTCGTCTAAGTACATTTGTACAGAAGTAAACAAAGGGTCATCATGGTTTAAGTCGCTCACCTGAGAGCCATTGGTAGACAAGTTTGTAGTTTAAAAGTAAAAATGTACATGTGGTTAAAACGTAAAGACTATCAAATAGATTTGAAATAAAACAGACATCTTATTAATTAAGAAAGTAGACTTTTTCAGTTATGAATCTGGCATTTTAGAATTGTGAAGGAGGCCTTTTTAAATTATGTAGAGGCGTTTATGTAAATGATATATGGTGTTTGAGGTCCTGAATATTACATTAAATTGACATTTAGCTCATTCATTTGTGACTGTCGAGCTCAAATAGATTTGTTGTATATTTTAAAAGATTTCCTATTTAATTGCGATTTAAAATATAATTGATAAACACAAAAAATGTTTAGGATAGAATTAAAAAAACTGGCAAACATAGAAATTGCCACACTTTCTTTATCAAGTTTTGAACCATGATAAACCAAATCACAACAGAGAAATTGTTTCAGAAGAAACACCTCACCTCAACCTAACAAATACAAACAGCTTAAGGCCTTCAACGTACCCGTTTGTATAGCGCGTACGCGTTTTTATACACTCAGTGATATGATGTTTAATGTCATATAAGATGAAGCCAGAACTATCATTGTTGAGATATACTCTGGACAAACATCAGTAAGAACTCATTAAATTTCATTAAAAGAGATAACAGTGACGGACGGACAGTCAAGGTGGCGAGTATATACTGTTCTTTCGGAAGCATAAAAAGATTGGGTTATATGCCAGCTTTTAACGCACACCCCCCCCCCACTCATGGGGGCCTAAGTTACAATTCACGAATTCTTATGTCCGAACTTTTCAGGCAGATAATAATTAATTAGTCAATAAATAACGCGTCTGAAATTATTTTTGTGCATTGAAAAAGAAAAATGATTATTCATTTTAGTTAAGTTTATTAAAAAAGACAAACAGGCAAAGAAATCCTTAACATGATTTGCAGAAAAAATCAAGATAGTATCAAATGAATAATTTCAAGCTCTCGTTTAGAGATTTTATGACATGGATGAACTGCAGCGCACACAATTCAATTACTATTTCATGTGCAGAAGCACCTCGTGTGCAATAATCAAATGACATATGTCATTGAATCTATTTTAAGTTTTTTATTAATTAAATGGCGCAAAAAAGCTTTAAGACTATCGCATTAATCCAAACTGTCGAAAAATAAATCTAGGTCATGTTCTCCCTATTTTCTCTGCGGTGTATAAACCATGAAGTACATCATTAAAGACCTTGAATGAGCTGCTTAATATTGACTACTGAGTTGTTGAAAATGATTTCATTTTCCTTTGAACTTTAACATTAAGAATAGGATATGGCGTTCAATTTGAATTCAGAAACACTTTTCCTCGCAGCGCTATCTTTCGACCTAAACTCGTGCCTCATCCGTTCATGGACACGAGGCTAGATGGTAACGTCATTTCATCTTTAAGAGCGGCGACTTCAACATCCGTTCCAAAATAAAACTGACGAACGTGCACGCCGATTTCAAGGAAGACCTACGTAATGACTGTAGATTTTTAATTAAAAAATGACTTGTATGTCGAAAGTTTTATTAATAAGATAGTTTAATAAGAATCAATGGATATGTTGATTTAAAAGTTTGTCAACCCCAAACAAAGCTGAAAAACAACAACACAGTTTTTGATAATATCTGATTTAGATGTGATAGGACTTGTTTTTAAATAACAAGAGCCAAAACCGGTTGGGGTAACGCTCGACCTTTTTTAATTTTCTAAAAGGAAACAAATAAATGGTTTAAATAAAAAAAATAAAGAAAAAAACAAGACTTGCTACCAAAAAAATGAACAATTTAGATGTGACAGTCAAACTAATTTAAGGTCAAAGTCATGTCTAAATTATTCAATATGTTTTTGGTAGCAAGTCTTGTTTTGAGCAAGTTTAAAACGAAGTACATAAATAACCGAATTATGACAATTTTATCAACTTCAATAATTTGTTCTTGACGACCAATGTCTTTTTAAATGTCAAGGTCAGTTCAACCTTTAAGAAATATTTGTCCAAAATGTTGTTTGTCCAAGTATGAAGATAATCCGTTCATATATTGCCAAGTTAGTAAGTTATAGCAAATATCAGAGAAAATTCAATAAATCTTCAATCCTTCAAGGTCAAGGTCATTAAAAGCCGAGGCCAAATTGAGCTAAGTATACATGAATGTCTTCTCCTTAAAATGTTCTGTTTTAATATTAAGTAAATCCATTTAAAAATAACAAAGTTATAATCAGATACTGCAAACAAAATAAAATTCAATAGTTTGACCTTTAAAGTCAATGTCATTTATCAGTGAAGGTTAAGGAATGTCTAGTTAACTTGAAGGGATATCCTGAAAATTATTTTAATTGAATTTGACAATCCATTAAAAAAATCATAGATATAGCTACTTATATCAAGTTAGCAAAAAAACAACAAGCAAAATTAAGACATTTAACATTGAAGGTCAAAGTCTTTTATTAATAAAGGTAACGCCGACATGACTGTTACTTTCATTAATCGAAAACGACATACTACGTAGAACTTTTTTCTCATCACCTTGGGTTCAAATTCAATACGAAAAACCCCAAACTGGTAAAACAAAATTTACTTAATATCAACACTGTGTTTCCTGGGCATATTAACTAATCGTCTTTTTTTTTAATTTCCTTGTCGGTTTTTACAATTTTCTAATTTTCTATTATGCTTTGTTTAAATTGACACCTCGTCCATGCTTGGCCTTCTGCTCTGTCCTGTTTTTGAACGGTGTCCTGCTATGCTCCTTGGTGGTAGTTCTATGTTGCTGAGTCGTGTGGGGATGGGTTCATTAAATGTCATCCATCCTTGTTGATCTTGTTTTTTCATATAATTTCACAATGACAAACTTCTTGAGTGATTGCCTTCTCTTGAAATAAATGTTGATCCACTTTATCTTGCACGTAACATTGTCCCAACGTTCAGTTTTGGCTCAGTACAAAACAGTTCAAAGAGCAAAGTTAAAAATAGATTACATGTACTAACTTTTATTCAAATGTCATTGACAAGGTTGAACGAGCCCTCACAAATGTAATGGAGCCAGCACTTTTATTCAGTAACTGTTGACAATGTGGAATTATGCCGAAAAGTATGCATTAATAGTCCTTATTGCATTAGTCGATAAAGAGTAACTTTCATGAAATGGTGAAATGTTGTGTTTATCACAAAGTAAATTTCGTTAAAGCGATGTAACACGATTTAAAAGTTGTTGGATGCTTGATCACATGTAAGCATTACATTTTAACCAAGGTCTGTAAACTGTTTCTTTTTTTGCGCTGGGCCAAGGGTTAGGATCATTTTCTATGCAAGATAAAGTGGTAAAAATATTTACTTCACAGTAGGGATATCACTTTAGATGTTTCTTCATATAAACGAAAACAGACAATTTGATATTTCATTCCATCAACGTCAATTTGAGTGTTTCGTATCGGATAGCATTTATCCTATATTTAAAAGACAAGCATGTTCTTTCAAATTGGATGTTTACCTTTCCTAGCTTTAATTTGGCGGGGATCTTCAAAGAGAGTGTCAAGGGCTCTCATTTAAACACGTGAAAGAGCCATTGTGATATTATAAACGAAGGTGGTTCAATCATTAATCTTTTTCTTACCTTCTTTCTTCTTTTGATAAGTATCCTCAGAGATCTTAGCATTCGCATCGTTACTTCTTGCTGAAAAACATATTAATAAGCATAATGCATGACGAACTCGAAGAAAATTAACATATACGTATGATCCTTATTGCTATGCAAAATAGAAATAATAAGAATTATTTTAATAAATATAGTGTAGGGACAAAATTTGTTTAACCTACTTTTTGTAATTTTTGATTAGCTTATGTTTGTAAGAACATATGAAGGCTTAGATTAGGGGTTGCGTTCATTTTACGCAGCCTTTCCTTGTTGATCTTATTTATCATATTTTAGATAACTGATGTATTGTCTTACTTTTTTCTGCAGCTTTTTGTATCTCCTTTATTGCACTTTCTTTTTCTTTGTTGACATTTTGAACGCCATAATTGGTAACAATTTCAATGGTTTCTTTTCCTTTCCTTGTCTGACTGTCAATCTCTTGAATAGATTCTTTCACCTTAGCCTCAAAAGCATCAATGGACAATTTCACTGCACCATTCAGCTTGGCAAGTGAAACATTTCCCTTCTCTTCTATATCTTTTATTTTCAGGTTTATAATGTTAATCAGCTCTAATTTCTTTTCTTTAGTCTTCTGTTTGTACTCATCCATCTCATTTCTTATTTGTTCCTGAATTGTTTTTCCCAAATCGTCCAAAACCTTACGTACAACGTCTTTTCCAATGACCAAATCGTCACTTTGAAGCTAAAATTATGAGAAAAGGATTTAGTGCATTGATCTATTTATTATCAATCCTTACAGAATATTCTGTGTCATATACATGTATAGTACCTCATTTCATACATTTGAGTAATTAATTTAATATTTATCTATTAATTTCCATAGTCTTTTTTCCCAAATGTTTTATATCCGGATTGTCTTAGCCTTTTCGAAGATGAAAATTTTTTAAACATAAAGTAATTCAGGAATGCCAGAACATTAAAAAAAAATATATTAATACAAGTATAAATTTATGAATCATATTTTTGTCAAATTTTCTTAAGTTAATTTTAGTTCAATAAGTGCAAGAATATCGGCTTAAATTTTTTATTTCATCGAGAGGATTTTGTTTAAAAACAGTCAACAAAATAATTCAAATGTGCTTCAGAGAATTACTTTCATGGGAACTAGAAAATAATGTCAGAATTACAAAGTTAAATTTGACATAATGATTGTTTTATTGCATCATTTTGTATAATTAATTTAGCCGTTGTGTTAAGTTTGATGGTGGCTTTACTCTTGAAACAGCTGAAAAGCTTTTGTTTGATAAATTACATTAAAGGCAATACCACTATATTCCAAGTTTATTTTATGACCTCTTATTTTGATCTAAAAACATATTTTAAATCTCAAGTGGAAACTGTTGGCATTTGTGAAGATAGGTTTGGTGTATGCAAAACTTTAACCAAGTGTTTTCTTATTTCATAAAGCGCTTAAATTCAGTCAAAAAACTATTCTCAATGTCTCACTTCGGTGGGAGAAGTTAGAAGCAAATAATTTAGGTTATGACCCCCGTTGAGTAGGATACCCTCACAATTATTCGCATAGTCGTGGTAGAAAATATAAACAAAAATGATTACCTTCGCCAATTTCTGAATTGCATTGTTTGCTGATTTATTCATTGCTACGAATCCAGGATCGGTCAAAATGTTGTTTAAAATGGAAAAATACTGTGTTAGATCTGTATCCTCGACCTCCAGATTAGGAGAATGTCTGACAGCTCTACCAACATCTCTACCCTGAATGTAAATATGTATATATAGTTTGGTCAAGTGAATAATTCAGATACGATTTTTCTTTAACAAATATACGTTACAGATGAATCTCAACAAATTTCGTTATGACACTTGTAGAACATAGATGGACAGACTGAGATTTGAAAAAAAAACCAAACGCTTTTATGTAGTCAACTGCTCGTTCATACTTGTTTCAATAATGACTCGTATGATCTTTAATTGTTCCCTTATATGAAGCAAACAGTTGTAAAATTAAAGGAAATTAAAGAAAACCCAAATTTAGTATACAATAAATGTCATCATTTAACTGTTACCTTGTCAAATATATTATTCTTCTTGGACAAGTCGTCTTTTATTTTTGCCTCAAATCCTTTGTGATTAATAATGACACTAATGATGCCATTAAAATCAGTCTCTGCAGCGTTCGATACATCCTTGTATCCGTCTGGCGGGAGATAACATTTGGCAATTTCCCAGGCATTGCTGCACCATTTGGTTGCGTCCGTATTTTTATATGACGGACCATGATATCGATGTGCGCTTTGAATCTCAGATTTTAAATGATGACAAATTTTATTCGGGCAGCCAGATGGGCGATACTTTGTTGCAGCGTTTTTATGGTAACTGCATTTTCCTCGTTTTGCGTTGCAAATTCTGTTTGTTGGACAAACAATCAGATTTTCCGTACAGCAGTTTGAACAGGTGCTTCCGGCTGGTAGGCTGTTTAATGTGGAAATAGTATGTAGACAGTTCTGCTGGAAATCTTTGACTTCATTAACAACAACTTGCTCTACTTCTTCTTTAGTGAATAAAACAGCTAGTGCGGCCTTTATCCAGTTGAAGAATTTAGAAGTCTGCTCAGTCGGCACTGATGTAGCCATCATATAGTGTTTCTGATTACCAAAGTCATTGTCTACTATTCCTTAAATAAATAAAAAATATGATGTGTCAATGCAAGTAAGAAATGCGATGATGAATGAATGTTTTGTTTCTGCTGTTGTTGTGGTTGATATTTAATCTGCTTTCCTTTTTCAACACCATCTATCTTTTGCTTGAAGTATGTATGTGTTTTTTCTCTTAGATCTCCGTATATAAATGTTCAATGGTTGGAAAAATTAACGTGCGTATATATAAAAAAGATTACGCACGGTAGTGTATTGACTTAGCTGCTATTGTAGAGTACTGAAAGGTTTGATAAATATTTTATGCTGATACTTTCTTGTGCAAAATATATCTGTAAGCGTCTTATTTGAAACAAGAGCCACCGCCGGCCGGTGGCATCGCTAGACGTTTTTACTTTTTCTTCATATTGTTGCAGAATATTTTTTAGCGCAAAACCTTCATGAATATTAAACTCAAATTGACCTTTGCCCTCTTATGACTTTGAAGGCTAAATTATTGAATTTTTACTAATTTTTGCTATAATTGACTGTAGGTTGGTAATTAATGGATGGATTATCTTTATTCTTTATTTTAATTCGTTATCTTTAACAAAACAACCTTTTGAACAAGACCTTATAAAAGGCTGAACTGACATTGACCTTGAGCTTTAAATGACTTTGACCATCAAGGTCAAATAATATAATTTTGGTTAAAATGTCATAATTTTGTTATTATGTATGGATTTGATTTAAACTTAGACAAAAGAAGACATAGTTATTGAATAATTTAGATGTGAGCTTGACCCTAAATTGACCTTGAATGTCAATGACAAGTAATAATATTCTCCTGGTCTTTTTTGTAACTGGCAACGACTTTGCTATTTATAGATTTTTTAAATTCATATGAAAACACAGCATCTTTGAGGTAAGGGCATTCATGTATATAAAACTCAAATTGATCTTGACTCATGTATAACATTGACCTTTAATGTCAAATTATTTTATTTTCTCAGATAATTGCTAAAATTTGCTGTAACTTTGTAATTAATCAATTGATTATTTTTATACATGGACATAACAACCTTTTGGGTATGACATTCTTAAATGAATTGTGTTTAAGTAGTCATATTGTTTTTTATTTTATGTAAGGATTTTATGAATGACGGTCAAGTCTAATAAAAGGTTATTCTCAAGAAATGTTGTGGCCAAGTATGAGGACAATACAACAAAACCTTAACAAGAAGCGCCGCAATGCGACGAAAACCAGGTTTTTCAACGACCAAGTATTGATGTGACTCGAAGTAGTAATGAAGTATGGCCGTGAAGTAAAAAATAATGCTTTATTTGTACCAACACGGAAAGATGGTTTCAATAGTTCAAAATAAAAATATACCAGCAACCTGAGTAGCAATGCCAGGCTGTATTTTCAGGTAAGCTACACGCATACAAAGTTAAGTATCAATAAGTCAAAGTGTACTGAAGTATTGAGTAGAAGCTGAAAATTTCATCGAATTAAGGTGACCTTGCATTCAGATATTTAAGAAGCAATCCCAAGAGGCATCTTAATATAAGTTAGCCACACAGCAAGTTTGGTACCAATAAATCAAAGCAAACTCATGTTAAAACGGGAAAACCGAATTTCATTTTGAGCAACAGTGACCTTGTCCACAGACACCTTAGTAACAATTCCAAATTACATCTGGATATTAGCTACCCATACACTATATTTGGTGTCAATATGTCACATCTAACTCAATTTATTATATTAAATTTCGATTTTAGGTAGCTGTGACCTTGACCCTAGTCATAGTCAGTCAGTCAGTCAGTGAGACAGTTAGTAAGTAAGTAACGACTTTATTTAGTGAGGCTAACACATTTGGTTTCCCAATCCCAAGTAGCGTGTTTATATAAGGTAACCGTATACTAATTTGGTGTCAATAAGTCAAAGTAAACTAAAGTTATTAAGCGGGAACTTAATTTATAATTTTAGCAACATTGACATATTTGCCTTGATTACAAACAGCTTGATTGAAATCCCAAGCTGCCACTTGAAAACCTGGTTAAAAGGTTATTATTAAAGTAAAAGTTTGTGGAAGGCAATGGCAACGGCAACCGCAACAGCAACTGTAACAGTACCTCTACTCTACTTATATATATTTAAAAACATAGTCGAGCTTAAAATTTCCACAAAAATTGAACACAAAATAAATCATATTACAACTCGAAGATACACCACAGATATTCAACCAAAATATCAACTTTGCAACATTTTATAAACAACTTTAACCCAAACAACCAAAATTTACAGATATCTTCAGAACCATGTCATTAACTATATGATAATCTTGACAAGACAAAGTCACTCAAAATATCGCCTACAATAAGTGATGTAGAACTATGAACCAAAACTGATAAATTTTTCTCAATTGCTTACACAGAAAACTAACCCTTATGGGTAACTAACCATTTGGGTAAAGTGATGGTAATAAAAACATTTGCCTTACCTAAACTGTTATATACATTTGCAGTTTTAGAAAACCCATCAAATGATAAGATTAAAGAAATAATAAAAGCAACGTATCTTTTTCTATGGGATGGCAAGCCAGAAAAAAATCAAACGTCAAACATTAACACTAAATGTCAGAATTTGAGGATTTAAAATGATCGATATTAATACTTTTTTAAATGTAGTAAAGGCAAATTGGGTCAAACGATATATAAATGAGGACAATAAAGGATTATGGAAACTGTGTATAAATCAAAAAAATAAAACAGTAGGGAAAGGACTTTATAGTTGATTGTTATCCTTCGAAATAAGATATCAAAAAGATATTTTCTCATAATTCATTCATCATCTTTGTGCTTTCGTCATGGTTTCATATTCAACAAGAACACAATGATAGAAAAAGAAAACCTTAAACATATAATATGGAATAAGTAATAGAAAGAGCACCGAAACACGAGGCTATCTGATTTGTACGAGGGGGCGTAGCCCCCGAGTATTAATCAGATTGCCGAGTGTTTTGGTGTTCTTTCTCTTTTGTATCATAGTCAAACATAAAAGCACGTTCCCTGTTGTCACAATATGAAACCCCGGCAAAAATGAACCAATGAACGAACATCTGAAAATGACATTTCTGTCGCTTTCCCTTACTCTGCCGTCACAATATGTAAACCCCAGCAAAAATGAGCCAATCAATGGGCATGCTCTGGAGTGCGGGTAACTTATACCCGCACTCCAGTTACTGCACTGTGCATGTATATGTATACGATTTAACCCTGACACATTTTCAACAGAAAGGTCTCCAAACTATGATACAACTTTAATATAAGAATTGATAATAAATTAGTGTACTATAAAACATGGCATTATAAAGTTATTCTATATTTAGAAGAATTATATGGTTATAGGAAAAATCACCTCTACAAATTTCACGATCTAAAAAATATCTATAGCATGAAAAAATTGCTGAGTCTTGAAAATATTACATGCTTGTAAATAATATACCAAAAGGATATTTTGATAGTCTGAAATAAACAAGAAATTATAACAAAGGACAAGATATACTCCTAAATAAAGTTAAAAAAAATCTGTAAATTAGCTTTTATTCAATATTCAACTTGAAAATGATGAAAGGTTCAAAAATAGAATGAAGAGAAATGGGAAAAAATTGATACTGAATTAGATTGGCATATATATATGGTTCCATTAAATACAGATGTGTCGTTATTAAAACAATTTACAATACAAATTTATTCATAGACTAATTCCAATTAACACAATGTTATTTAAATATAATCTTTGTAATTCAAATCTATGTTGTTTTTGTGGTAGCAATTTAGAAACGCTTTATCATCTTTTTGGGAATATACTTTTATACAAAAATTATGGTTAAATTTTTAGTTTTTTTTATCTTATCAATCAATATTGAATTTTCATGTAATTTAGAAACAGTGTTTTCTAACGAGCTGATGTATGTATGTGTGTATGTATGTTTGTGTATGTATATTTCGCCGACTTTTTCTTTGTTGTTTTTCCTCCTTATTTCTACTCCAAACCAATTTTGATCACAGGGCTATGATTTTAACAATTCTGATAGAAATGTAATAGAAAATGCCTTATGCAAAATATCTTAGCTCTTGGCCTAGTGGATCTTTAAAAGAAGATTTTTGTTATATACTTTTGGTTGGCATGGCATCCAGATTAATATATGAAATCAATTTTTTTAAATAAAGTTGGAAGCACTAAACACAAGGAACAATTCTGGCAAGTTTGGTTGAAATCAGACAAGCGGTTCTTAACAAGAAAATTGTTTAAATTCACTATATAATCTATATGACACACGGATAGGCACCAATACGCACGCAGGGACACACTCACACGCACAGACACACACACACACACACACACACACACACCTTAAAGGTCAAGGTCGTTTATGAGGTAAGGTCAATGTCTGTCTAGTTTCCTTCAAGGTCTTTTTTAGAAGATTTTTGTATTAATGCCACAGGCAGATATAATGCCATAAACTTAAACTGAAATCAAACATTCATAATTGCACTTGAATACTAGTAGTGCAAATGTTAACACGTTTTTATATGATGTGACCTTATTTTGACCTCAGATGACCCTTATTTAAACCTAAACTGAAAATAATGCAAACAACATTTCTTACTAATCTCTAGAGTGATAACAAAGTGTTTCCAATTTAGGTCCGTGTGAACTAGATTTTGATCATGGATGACCCATGCTCAAAGCTGAGCTAGAAATCACCAAAACAAACTTTCTAGCAAATTTTAAGAATCTGGAAACAAATAATCCCTTGGAGCATACGAATAGCATTTAAAAATAGTTTGAATGGAAATATTACCTCTAAAAGGTACACTATTTTTTTCCATAATTTTAATTGTGTATCCTAGTTTTTGACCCCAGATGACACGTATTCAAACATGACCTAGAAACCATCTTAAAGACATTTCTGAGTAATTTTCAGGCTGTTTGAACTTAAGCAGTATACCCCGTAGTGTTTGCAAAATTTCT